TTACAGTGCTCTGATGACGAGTCTTAAAGACTGGCCTAGCCTTGTATACCAGATAAAGAAACTATTAAAGAATTAAAAATATCCTTTTAAATAAGGGACATAAAGACTGCTAAAGACGAGATTCTATTTACCAATTTGACTATTTTATTTACTGGTCGAAAGCTGCAATGATACTAGGTATATAGTATTATCAATTTTGATGAAATACTCAAGTATTCTACTAAATGTTTTATGTTTTTGTGATTATTTTATAATGTTTTTGTGATTATTTTATAATCACAAAAACATAAACAGTCAACTATTTAGGTGATTAACAGAAAACAGGAGATATACACTTATTTCTTGTTAATAAAAACACATCATTTTATTTAGGAATTAGTTCGCAAACAAAACATTATCAGACCATACCCAATACTAATAATTAATAATATATTTTTTTATTTTATAATATACTATTACATTGCATAATTCTTACTTTCTGCCATAGACATTTTCTTCCAGTCAACCTTTGGATGATGCATAGCTGTGTGTGGAAGGTGTATAATTGAAGCTAATGAAAATACGCTTAGTTTATATCTATCACAACAAATATACCTACTATATGTATAGATATATCAGGTATACAAAAAAAATATTTTGTACTTACTGTATAACAGTTAAATAATATTTATATATACATAACTTACATATGTACATAAATAATAAAATTACACAAAGTCGATTTTTTTTATGACTCCGCCAACAGTCCCCGTGGAGCTTGCGTACTCTAAGCTTAAAGTTGAATCGGCTGGTAGACATCCTGACTTCTAAAGGGAGGGTATTCCAGACATTTACAGGTCGAACCACGAAGGAAGAATATTCACAGATATAAGCAAAAACCACATACATAATACACGCGTATAGATACGCGATAGCAACATTGGTAAAACTTATGTTTAAGTTTATTCTTTAATGTCCTTGATACATTATTATTATTCTGTAATTAATAATAATATGATGTAGATTATTCAGTAATTTGGCAATATACTGCTTTACTTTTACTTTCAATGAATAAGAACTGATGGCCATCCTAATTTCAAGGGGAACACATGATTTGGCCATCTTTTAAATTCATTTTTCTAAGGAAATAGAAAAAGACTTATAACCTTTATTTAGAAATAAAAGTCCGTTCCTACGTAATAGAATTACTTTTAAGTAAATAATTCTGTGAGCAAAATCTGGTAAATTACATGTACAACAAACAATTTACCTACCGCCATTGTAATGTCAGGTTGGTTATAACCAATTTCAAACTCGGACACGGCATAACAACATTGTCTATCGCGCCGTACGTACGAGTAGATGTAATAACTTTGTAAATTGATTAAACAGCAATGTTGCCTCGATGTTGAGACATTCTGCACTCGTTCTCACTTGAGCTAACTTAAAGCGATAAAGTTTATTTATAAATTCATGTCACCAATCGGCATGGAATATTACCGATATAAAGGAAATAAATACTAAGTAGGACTTTTCAAATGCAGCTTTTTCTGAACGTTAATAGGCGTTTAATGGCAATAATTGGCCTTAGGATCTAGTCTAGTGGCTAGTCTTAAGTGCTGAGCCATAAGTGGCGTGGTTGATCCCCACCAAGTTGCTCACACAAATAATTATGTGAGCAACTTGATCGTGTGTTCTGTGTCTATAGGTTAGTGGCTAGTGATCCTAACTCAGAACAAATAAACGTGTGAGCAACGTGATCGTTTGATCTGTGCCAACAGGAAAATTATGTGTTTTTTATTTGTTTAGTTATGTGTTACTGTATTCTATACTTATCATCATTTTTTTTAAGTGTGAAACCCCCTCAGGCCGTCACCCATACGGGGTTTACGGCGGGGTGGTGAGTCGGAATCGGACCGACTAAAACCACACGGTGTGCCACTCTGCGAATGCATAACCTATCTAATATCAGATCCCCAATCTAGGAAGTTACTAGCCATGATTCGGTACAAATGGGCTGGCTCGACTGGAGTCCAAGGCAAAAAAGCGGTGTTAAGCACAATTCTTTCATTACTTTTCATCAAGTGAGTGAGGTTCCTAAAGCCCAACCCCTCCCCTCTCCTTCTGATCTCAGAGGGGAAGAGGTGGCGACTCAAAGGGTGACAACGCACTTGTGACTTTTGAGTTACAAATGTCCATCAGCTTATTTGTTCTTTTATACCTTAAAAATAAAACCTTTACTTTAAAAAAAGTAAATATCACAATATTTTAAATGGATTTGAATCTTAATATCACATTAAATTAAGGTTGAAATTTATTTATGATAAACACGTCTAGAATCGTATATTTTCTCTTCAATCATACACGTGACCCGTACTTAATACATCGCTTTGTCTCAAGACATTACTTAACAGAAGATTGATAGTTAGAAAAGGTCATTCGTGCACGAGTTGCTACTAGATACTTATGTTGATCATTACGGTTTTGTCTTTACGCAATATCGTGTGTCTATGGTCATTGTACTTTAATGTGAAAATTTAGCTAGAGGCCAAACAATCATTTTAATAGTGATTGTTTTGTTTATATGTGCAACAAAGTTCACCGTTCAATGATCGTTATCTCTTAAATCACAAATGTTTTGAAAATGCGTTTTGATTGATTGATTATTCGAAATCCCGCAATATAAACAAATAAACAGGAACGAACCGCAAATATTGTATTTACACGATATGTTATCCCGAATTAGAGAACACAGTTTGTAACAAGGCTTATAGTATTAAAGATTGCCGATCTCCGTTAAGTACTGACACCTTTTTTTTTTTCGTTCGGAAATCCCCTCGGATAACACCTATCGGTGGCATGTCGGACTCGAATTGTCTAAAACCGCACGCCGTCTCGGGTACTAATAGCCGGGGAACCAGGTATACCCTAGAAAGGAAGTCCCTGGTGCAAAAGCGATACCGCAACCTAGGTTTTGGAAACCTCGACCACAAGCATCGATGCGCTCAGACCGACACTTTTAACCACTACGCTATGTTGACAGATAAGTACTGACACCCGGGTACTTTTTAATAGCTAGCTAAGTTTTTTTCAAAGACAACTCGATAATAAAAAAAAACAAATCTTCTTTCACATTTATAATTTAAGCATGGAAGTATGGATGGATTACAAGTAACACATAAATCCTTTTAACAATTAAAACTCATGAGGCGTATACATCAACATAGTTATGCAACCTTTTTAACTTTTTGAATGACAACAATATTTTCCGAACTATCATAATTGGTTAACGAGATGCTATGGTAGTTTAACTAGCCGTCTTAAATCAATTTGTTGGCATGACGGTGTGATATCCATGCTTGAAGGTTAGGTACAGTCAAGCCCAAAAAGATTAAAGGTTTCAAAACAAATTTCAAAAAGGCTAGGCTTTTTCAGAAATGACATTTATAAAATTAAGTTGCAAAATGGTGCTTAGTTTCTATTTAACTAGCTGTGCTCGTGATTTTGTACACATTACATTTTTTTAGTTGGCCATAAACATTTTTGACATCTTTGTATGTCTCCCGCACCGGTACGAATGATAAAAAGAGAGAATCTACTGACTATACTATGATAAAAGATACCTTTAATTTACCCGAATCATACCAACATGTTCTTGTTTTCATTTATTGAATTTAAGTTTATGTTGAGATCGTATCACTAAAATTAGTGTCTATTTATAATGCAACAAAATAATTCTTACATTCTAGTGCTAAAAAGCTGCAAATTAATATACAGTTTACTAAACATCTGGGCAACTGTACAAATCCAATGACTCGACATAATATACTCGTAGCAATAAATTAAAAAAGCGGCTCGTGTATCGCGAAATTGTTGTTACTGTTTTTTTTTTTGTTTTTTTTTAGGCGTCGTGCTCATTAAGCCAATACTGTGTCATAATAATTTAGTAACGGATAATATCAATAGATATGAGATTATTTCTACAAATCTAAAACTATATCTTCAAATGTATATTTTTTTTTAAATGTAGTATCGACACCAACACATCTAAATAATGATAAATTCTAAGCTGCAACCCTTAATTTTCTGTTCTTAGATGTTAATAATTTTTCCAACTGAAGTGGGTTCAACTTTGAGTACAACTAATTTATTTTAAAAAATCTCTCTCTTTACGACTATTCGTTCCACATGTTGAGTCAAACCTCTTAGGCGTATCAACCGCTTTTTATACAAACTTCAGATATTCGTATTTCCTAGTGCTCCGGAAAATTGGCCTATTAATACTCGAAGAGAAGTCTTTACACTTCATAGAAGATTCTATTAGACGAGTTTTTTTTAACCCTAACACCATAAAAACTACAATTTTATTACTCGCAGTACACGGTTCACAGCTTAACAATTAAATATAACATCAATCCGTCTTCGTATACACACTAAATTCATTCAACTGACTTCATTGGAAAGCAATCAACGCTGTTCAGAGCGCGGCTGATTCCAACGGATTGATTCAATTAAATGGAATTATATTCAGTTTAATTGAATTACATTCAGTTAGTTTACGGGCGTGTAAAATAATTTCAAGTAATCCAATTACTTGGCTTCATTTGTTTGATGATTATCTTTGTTGATAATAAGTTACGAGATTTTTAAATAGAAAATAAATTAATGTACTAAGTTAACATTAAGACAAGGAAAAATATGGCAAATAATGTTTTGGGAGAGCTACGCTTTTGGCTTTTATTGGGTTAAGTCCCACTATAAATGCTAATAAAAACACATATTCTGATGATTTGGTTAGATCTTATTCCCAGGAATCTAGTCTAGATTAGGCTTAAACACACTTACACTTAATTTGCACTCATCATCAGACCATTGCGACCAATGATATTATATTGATTAACCCAGTGATCGCGTGATTTCTCGTATAAAAAATTATAAACGTAAATAAATAATAAATAGAATTATACTTATACATTATTAAGAATGAATTACTAGTAGTGATAAACGTTTTTTGTTTACAGAACGACTCTGACGATGACCAGTGTGCATTGAGTGACAAATGGCAGTACGAAAGAAAATCCCGGAGATGGTCGCGAGTCGTCGAAATCACACCACAGGCGCAAAGAAGGCTCCAGGTATTTGTGCTATATTTACATCCTAATACGTACATAAGTGATCGACCTTTTAATTTAAAAATTACCTCCACTGAATTGGAACTCTGCGTTTTTCAAGAAATTGCTTATCTTGCACAATCAATCTGTGAAACAAATTGTCGCCTGCGGTGTTTTCGAACCGTTACGACCTTCAAACCTTCAAGAAAAGAACTTATTCCTTCCTTAAAGACCGGCAACGCGCTTGTGACTCTTGGTTGCAAGCGTTCATGGGCGGCGGTAGTCGCTTTCCTTCAGGTGACTCGTTAGCTCGCCCCTATACAATTAAATCCGTTAATGTCCGTGTAGTGACGGATTAAGAATACGGAATGTCACTACCCCAATTCATCCCGTGGGTGTCGTAAGAGCCGACTAAGGGCGCAAAACAACGCAGGACACCAGCACTGCAAAAAGAAGGAAAACTTGACACAAACTCTATACCAACCCGTCTGGCCAGCGTGGTATAGCACGCCAAAACCTCCTTTCTAAGGAGAGGACTATGTCCAGCAGTGGAATATTAAGGGTGTTGATGCGATGATACAATTAAAAAAACATGATTAGACTTTAATAAAAATATAGGCTCGTTTCTCCAAAATCGAAGCACTTTAAATTCAATAATACAGACCCAAGTATCACTTTGCATATTTTAAATTCAACCTTTTTTATTACGAACCAAAAACCCATTTATTTGGTCAGTATTTCACGTTTAGGACATGGCATGGATTAATAATAATACAATCATGCGTTAAGTGTCCATTGGCATTAAAGCAATTTAAAAAAGAGGGTTTTGGTTGATTTTAAAAGTAATGTTTTTTTAATCTTAATTCAGTATACGCATAAGTTTAGGAACGCCCAGAAAATAGAGAATACGGGCGAAAAAACTTTTTCCTAGAAAATTTATTGAAGCTGTCAGAACAAAGTCCTTCTGATCATCTAATTCTAAATCATTGTTAAGTAAATAAGTTTCAATCTTAAATATGTTTAAAAACTGTTGTACTGTGTAATATAGTTACGAGTTACAGAAATTACGTCTGTCATAAAAAGTACTCGTTTTTTTCGCAAAAGAAAGAGAAGATCTATCAAGCTAGATACTTTTTGTATTTTCCAACTATGAGTATCATATTACGCCATTTAGCAGAGCTCTGTGTACAGTACAACAACGCGGTCAGAATGTTGATGGACATACCTCATTTCCGGAGACCGTCCGGTATGTTTGCGGAACAGAGAATTGATGGATTTCATCATTTATCTGAAGACGAAATGTTTACTTTACTCATTTAATGTATAGACAACAATTTTCATAGCATAGTGTGATAAATAGGGTCTTACAATATCAGCTTAGCCAGGGAGTTTAGAAAACGGCTTTCATAATGACCGCGGGACAGGAGCACCGGTGTTTTATGCTATTTCTTGTTGCTTTCCACCCCCCGCCCCCCTCCCCCTATGATATGAGGGGGGGGGACTCCAAGAACGCCATCGCACTTGTGACTCTTGAGTTGTTACTAAAAAACAATATATTTTGCTATCAGGTGATTGCAGCAAGGGCATTAGCAGAAAGAGAAGCAAGAGAAGCGAGAGGGGAAGTAGAAGACGACGAAGATGAGACTCTGCCGACAATACGAGTTGGACTTGTGGATGCTGACGGCATATACACAGATGTTGAACCTGATCTGTGAGTAGAAAAATAAAAATTATGATTCCTGACAAGGAAGACTTGTCCTTAGGTTCTACTACTACATATTTATATTTATATAAATATTAATTTGGTTTGTGTACCCCTTAAAAATTCAATAAGGTTCTGCACCGCTTGAGCTCAAATTTTGATGACATACAACCTCCTTCAAAGATTGTTTTTATCTATTTACTAGCAGGTGCCCCGACTTCGTTTACGTGGAATTTGAAAAACGCTGCCTTCGTGGCTTCGATTCCCGGACCGGGAAATATTTTATAGCCTAAGTTACTCCCTATATAGACAGTTACCTGGTAGTAAAATATTATCAAAATCAGTCCGTTTTGAACATTACCCGGAATAAACAGACAGACAGACAGGAAAAATAAAAACTGGGTTTCAGGCACAGGTATCGTGCAAATAACCGTGTGAGCATGAAAATAACCTATTATTTTGACATTACAAACAGACATTTCAATTTTATTTATTTGTATAAACTGCGTCAGTTTCGTTCCTCGTCAATGCAACCACAATATACACCAGCGAAGTTTGGCAGGGCACAGCTATAGTTAAACCGCCGTAAGCTTGGCCCTCCTGATGGTTTGCGGGACGCAGGGCGGGTGATGCGCTCGGCCATACATGATACGATGTACTTACTCGATATCTTCAGATTTATTTGTTTGAGATTTAATCTACACACGATGTAATAAAAATCGAATATATTTCCATGTATTATAATGTCAGTGTATTGTAAGTTTTTATGATGATGAAAATCACCTTATCTACATCATGTAAATTATATTCAGATACAATTTAAAAATTAAGTAAAATAATAAATATTCTTTATTAGAACTTTAACAGTAGAACCTCTGTAAGCCGAACTTCAAGTTTTTAAATCTTTTTGTGACGCAGAGTCGGCAGATTATCCATGTTGCAAAATAATACCGTGTGTAGCAGTCTTAAGAAAAATAACACGTACAGCCATGCTTTCACGTCAGTCACTGCCGGCGGACAGCGACGCACTAGCTAATTGGTTGAATGCACCCCCGCCCCGCGTTCCCCAAACCATCAGGAGGGCCAACCAAGCTTACGGCGGTTTAACTATAGTTACCTATATGTTTACGAAATAAATGTTTTTCCTTCTTTTTGTTTCCAAATGTCACAACGAAACCCTAAATATTTTAAAACTGGTACTGCAACTTGGTTGTCAGATTATAATAATTATGACACAACTTACGCTCCTATATCACACCGTGATATCAGTTAGCCCTTTTCATGGATACAATGAGCGCCCTTATATATTTACTAGCTGACCCTTTGTCAAAAGAATAAACAAAATAAAATTTTGGGGGTGGGTCACCCTTATCATTTAGGGGTATGAAAACTGGATGTTGGCCGATTCACAGACCTACCCTATATGAACACGGCCGTTTCGGAAAAGTTTGGTAATAAACACTGCGATACGATAATTTAATATATTAGAGAGATATATTTGTAATACCACTCTCACTTATTAATAATTTTAGGTATACACTAGATGAGAGAGTACATATCCTATACATTAAAGTATCGTATAGTCGTGAGACAGGCGTCATAACAATAATCCCGTTCATAAATAGAGATCAATTAAAATAGTTAACACATGCTTGAGACCTTTTGTATTTGAAATATCAACCGTTTGCGCAATCAAGGGCCAATTATTTTTGTGAAGCATCAGAAGTAAGGTCGATTTGGAGCCATTAAATAAGCCGTAGAGTATTGTAGCGTTTAGTAAATGCAGCCAACCGCGATGGGACATGTCTCTCTTTTTTTAATGTGTTTTACTATGTTTACAATGATAAGTGTTTCTGTACAACCAGTAATTTTTTGCCTTCTTTAAATTTTCAAAACTTATCTTCCATGATAACTACATATATGTAACATCATTTTTAACAATCAAATTTTTGTAATGTCATTTCATGATTACTTTTTAATGAACACTTATTTTAACCCCTTATATGAATGTTTTATAAAATCAAATTGCGTAGCTTTATAAGTGTTTCCCGATCCTGACTATTCTTATCTATCACATATAATTTACCATAGTTATAAAAACAAAATCCTTCTAACGAAAAATCACTTGTTTAAACTGCTAAATGTTAATAGTTACTTGAAATACAACATTACCAATAGATACACTATTGTGACAGCCTATAGCCAACTAAAAATGCACCTACTGCCTGTTTTTTCTGCATCACCAAAAGGTTGACTGATGAGAATGCCTCAGACATTAAGTCCGCCAATGCACCAATAGTGCATGATGTAAAAATAAAAAATAAAAAACTTATAAAAAAAATTGTTTCATAACCGATGAAAAAAATAAAAAAACAAAAACCTCTCGCCGTTTTAATGGCCATACCGCACATCCTCATTAACACTTCGGTGATTATAGATACAGTGAGACGAGCTTATTAATTTGATTGTTACATGTGATTGATAGGAATGTTAAGTGAATTGATTCTAAGTACGTAACGGATTTATATCAAGATAAACTGACAGTATTGTTGGATGTCGATGACCGGCTGCCTGTTCTTTTGTTGCGATTATGATGGCCGAGGCGAGACTGATCACAGTTAAATAATCCTTTGGTTCGTTGTACTTTTATAATGAGGGAAATATCTGCGGATTTAATCTAAGAGTCTTTGAGTGATTGTAGAAGAAATAGGTCCTATTCTTCGTATCGTTTGCATATTGTATGACTCCATAGTTATTACGTATCCCTGAGATTAACATGATATACCTTTTTAACCGAATTTAAAATTGAAGGAGATCCTTAATTTGGCTACGGCTACTAAATTGAGATTTTACCCCTAGAGAAACCTAGGGGTAAAAATTAAGAAATAAAGAATGCAGACTATCACAATTCATCACGATCGTGATGAAGGCACATTGAAGTCTTTAAAACTGTTTTAAAAATTAATTAATTATTTATAGTATTCTTCTAGATCATTCGTCTGCCAGACCGGAGATTTGATTCCTGCTAATTGCAAATGTTAGAATTTATACATATTTTTATCTATCATAGTGTCTATGTAACTATTTGTACAATATATATGTAACGAAATGTGCAAAAATATAGTTTATTTACAAGTATACTTAGTTTGTATTTAGATAGGCAATAATATTTTTATATTCGTAGAAAATTAAAACAGTTTGTATTATCATAATCAAATAAGAACTTTTCAATCCATCACTAGATGTCAACTCCATTACGACATACTCGTACAAATAGATTTCTTGATAGGCATTGGCAGGTAGTAGGTAGGCGCGCCACAGATAATATAGTCGGAAAGTGCATAGCTTTACTTTTAGTTATAAAACATATGACATATATAAATTTAAATGTGTTACGATATACATCATCATCAGCCTATTGCAGTCCACTGCTGGACATAGGCCTTTCCCACTGTTGGCTAATTAGATTGAATTTCGGCTTCTTGCATCCAGCCGACTAAGGGAACAAACCACGCAGGACAACAGCACTGCAAAAAGATGGAAAACTCAAAACAAACCCTATACCAAACCGTCAGGCCAGCGTTGTATAGTAGGACAAACCCTCTTTTCTAAGGAGAGGCCTATGTCCAGCATTGGACTAGTAAAGGTTGTTGATAATGATGATGATGAAAATGTTTAAAGAGAATACTGTACAACATTTTATTCGTACGAGATTTCAAATTGTAAAATTTAAGAATATCATTGATTCATTTACTGTAGATATACCTAAAACATACATATGCAAAATTAAAATATGTATATCATTTCACATTTCTTTTAATTATGTAGAAACTAAACATGTGCAAGTATATAGAGCAATAGATTGAAAAATGTTAACAAACATTAAATTAAAGTAAAATTAAAACAATCTTAAATAAACTAACGATGTAAAACAAAGGAAAATGTATGTTAATAAAAATTAAGTAAACTTTCAAATTAAATGAAATAAAAGTTATTAGGTTATTGACATTTATATTTTTTAGCAAAAGAACCTTGTTATCGTTTAAACGAATTAAATTTAGTCAATTAATTGAATACTAAGTGACTCATTTGAATAAATCTCTAGATCGCTAAGAGCCTGGTTGGTCACGTAGTAAGTTGTCCCTGTAAACTGTAAACTGGATTTGATTACTGGGTCCCAAAAGTCGTAAATACCTTATTCTTTTTGGTCCAAGTCTCTGTATCTCTGTGTGATAACCACTACTGGTCTAGCGATTAAGGTCCCAGAGGAGGCGTTTTGAATATTCTAGTAATTGCTACACCGAATTCTGCTATCGATATTACCAAAGTTAATAAACTATACAATTATTTAGTTTAAAATACTTAAAAGTCTAAGACATTAAAGTAAATTAAATAAAAAAAGACCTGGCCTACCTTCCTTGAAAAACGAAATTAAAATAAATTTAAACACTTTTCATTTATTATTACTTTGTCAAATAAATATTTTACAATACTATAATAAACAAATATTTAGATATCACCAGCAACTCAAAACAATTGTATCTTACAACAGACATCTCCCATTATATTCATAGAAAACCATTCTCCATAATGGACTCTTAGCAAACACGTCAAAGTGACGCCCGCAAAGGGCACAAATGACTATAATTAAGTCCATTTGTTCTATATTACATTTGTAGAGTCCCTTCACCTATCACGTTTCCATTTTGGATTGCTAAACCGTAGTAATGATAGGCTAGTATAGGACGAAGTCTTACAAATTGCTAGTAGCGAGAAGCGAAACGAGCAATAACTTTATTCGAGCAAACGAGCAGACACGGGTCTTCTTATGATAAAAAATTACCGCCGCCCATGAACACCTTACGACTCAAGAGTTACCAGCCTTTGAAATAGGCGTACGCTCTTTTCTTGAATGTTTCATCATCATCAACAACAGCCTTTGATAGTCTACTCCTAGACATAGGGCTCTCGGAAAGGAGATTTAGTCTACTATACCACGCTTACCTGACGGCTTGGTATAGGATTTGTTTCAAGTTTTCCTTCTCTTTGCAGTGCTATTGTCCTGCGTAGTTTGCTCCCTTAGTCGGCTCTTACAACACCCACAAGATGAATAGGGGTGATGATACTGCGTATTCTTAATTCGTCTCAACACGGACAATGTTTATCAACTTGAATGTTTATCAAGTTGTTATTAGTAACACTGACCATTAGGTGACCCGTCTTCTCAGTTGCTCCCCACCCCTCTCCTCGAAATCCCGTCTTCCATAAAAAAAACAAATATGAAAAATATCTATTAAAAAACGCACAACGTAGTCACAAAAAAATAATTCAATAAACGCACAACACGTACACCATTGAAACGCTGTCACTTTAAAGAAAATCGCTTTCATTGGGACATAGTCCTAACGCGACATGTACTGTACTGCCCCACATAAAGGGCGTTAGTATACAGAGCGGAAAGCACTTAGTGTAAGATTAATTGTTACTGTGTGAATTTGTCAGTTTCATTGAAGTAGGGTCCAAAATAGCATGAACGTTTGGAGGAGTCATTATATATAATTTAATCATTAAAATTTGGCTACTAATTGGAATGGAGGCCATATTACAAAATATTTTTTCTGACATCATTACGAAAACATTGGATATATTATTTACTTAAAAGCAATAAAAAACTGCGCAAATAGTAACACACTCCACTCCTCCTCGGTTTTCAAAAAGGGTTCCCCCTCTAAGGATCAGAAGGACTTGGTCTCCGATAACCTATCTCACTCGGTGAAAAGGCTGTGAAGGCGCTCCTGGCCCATATGTGCCGAGCCATTGACGGCGATAGTCACTTTCCATCAGGTGACCTGCCTGTTTTTTTTGCCTCCTATACAATAAAAACTTATCTCAGTCACTTTTATTGGTTATAGAAGACGGTCATGTTGTGTGAAAACAGTTACTTTTTTAAATTTGGAGACGGATCCCTAAACTTGTGTTCAACAGCGTAAAATGATGCACTTGTAAAAGTAAAAAGAGTCATTTCCGTTAAAGCAGCGAAGATAACGTTTTAACACTTTAATTATACTCTTTAATGATGTACGCGAACTTTTTACAGAACAATACAATTATTAGACATAACGTTGTAGGCTTAGCAAGCGAAAGCAGCTTATTCTATCCATGATACTACACTTGTAATAATTACTTTTTTTAACTTTTGTGGCCTATTGGTAACCAATCAGGTATTAAAGTGTAATATTTCTCTCTAATCCAAAATAAATAAGGATACTTGAACCAGACTTACTGATCATGCCTGGTCTATTGTGGTTCTATTATTTATGTAAAGATACTGTAGCTACATGTGTGTAACCAATGCGAGAACTTTATTGCGTTATTCAGGATCAAAAGTTACTACGTAGTTCAACGTGTCTTAGCTAGATGGCGCTTAAGCGTGTTTCGTAATAGATGTATCCACATTTGATTTATTAAGATTATAGACAATAAATCGTGTAGAATATGACTTATTTGGTAATTATTTTGGATCTATTATTGAAATGTTGTTTCTCTCGACTGTCTAATCCCAATGGGGATCGCGTGTGACTACCGTTGGGAGTAATATGCATGAAGAATTTTTTCTTTATACATAAAATGACAAAGAAAACAAGAAATTGAATGAATCCCATAAAACCTATAAGTGAACATAGAATCTTCATCTAAAGACTCCCTAAACAATAATCTTCGTATATCTTTAATGTCCTTATCTGCTCTGTATTATCGATACCTACAGGATATCCCTTAAAAATTTCCTTCATAGAGATTAAAAAAATGTCGTCGAAAAAAGCGACAAAGAAACATGAAAGTCAAAAGCATAAGACGGCCATTTTGAAATGAAACCGCCTCCTGTATATTGCTTAGTTTACAACGAGTACATTATGTTAAAGGAAATTCAATTTAGAAGCCCACAAACCTTGTGAACAAAAAAGCCACTTTGTTGAGCACACTGTGTTTATACAGGGAAATCTTTAATGAAAAAGTTGTACCTATATAATCTGTTCGCGAAAATACTGTGCCAAAAAAAATACAAAGTTCGACTTTGTAGGCAATAAAGAAGTCGATACTTAGTGTTTTTAAAGCTTAGTAACGTTGAACTACTGAATTACAAATATGGTGAATAATGCCCACATGAACGTAAAAAAAATGATCCAAACATAAATTCGACGTTTTCAAAATGGTTTTCACACAAACCTTTTTGCCAATTTCATTCAATAAACTCTCAATACGTTTAAAAAATTCTATAAGCATTTCTCAGAACTAATTTATTAATGTTCTAAATTGTGTGATTCTGACAAAAAATAAAGAAAGATATGTAAATCTACAACTTCGTACTTGCATTTCGGCCTTTGCTATTTAACACTTTTCTTATCCGATGCAATATTAATACCGTACGTATTAAGTAATAAAGCATACACACATATTCAGTATTTCCATTTTAGAATTTAATTCTGGTGACATATGGTGACTTAAAATTAGTATAAATAGCACAGCAGTAGCACTAAGGAAAACGTCGAAATACACATTGTTGAACAAAAAATATCTTAAAAGAACATTTCTCAATGTTCACGAATCACCAATAAATGCAAGTGTAGTGATATTTCATTTCATTATTTTTTCATATGTTAGCTGGGACCTTATCCCTTTGTTACAAACACAAAGCCCTTAATCCGTCAACCAGAAGCTGAAATAAGTTTGTTCCAAGTATTTTTCCGTAATTGAATAAAGAGCTTTGTTCAAAGAGAAACCCACGTATTTACACATTCAACTTTTCTGGGTATTCAGAACACTCTTAATGTTATATCGGTGAGATCGTTAGAGAAATAAACTTGCAATTATGGTTTCATAATTTAGACTCTAGGAGAATACAGCAAACACATTAGTTTTTTTTGTAATCTTTTTAAAAGACTGCGATAATTAGTACTAATAGCCTCGTGTTAATAGTGTTTACAGAAATTACCAACTGTTTAGAGAAATTAAACAATTTCAACAATAAAAAAAACAAAGTATTCATTTTCCCTGCATCATAATGATTTGAGAAAACTGTATACACTGTAGGCAAGGTATTTCTTTTCCAAATTTAAATTTAACCGAACGAAAAGTATACCATGCTAGAAAAGGAAGAATTTAATAAATCGGCACAGAAACGATTTAGTTCCAAACTAACAAACATTGAAAGGAACAGGTGAATTGAGAAACTCCTCTATTTTTTTAAGTCGTCTACATAAATCTTATGATTTCAATATATCTACGAATTAAAGACTACTTAACTGACTACTGTAAGTTTGTTGCCCTACCAGAAAGAATATCAGGATAATTAATAAAGATTTCCTTTCGTATCTTTCTTGAAGAGTCTTGGGTAAGTCACGATCTCGGGTATTTTATTTAATTGATACTCAATTACAAGCATTTATTCAATTAAACTCAAGCATGTTTCCTTTCCATACAAATTTTACAAAAATAAAATCATAATATAATACGGTTTAAAATAAAAACAAAATATTGTTACCTCCCAATCACGAAAAATGCCAACCATCATAATATATTTGTGAGTTTTTTTAAGTTATTTACCTCAAACGCTGGAGAGAGGGAGCGCTATTATTAAGTTTCTGCCCCGGTTTGAAAAAATCGTAGATTCGGGGATAGCCCAAAGCAAGCGTGTTATTGATTTGACTTATCATATTCCATATATAAATAGACAAACACAAAGTAATTAAAACCTATTTGCTGGTAGTAACTAAAAAATAGGTTTTAATTATTTTGTTGTTGATAGTATAGTTTCTTCACGAAGCTTCCCTATCTTCCACCTATTTCCTCTTATTTTTCACAGAACTTTTTCCAAAACAAATACTTATTGTAAATAATAAATATAATCTGTGAATTACTTTGTAGCAAACTCTAAATATATTTATATAAATATTTAAAAAGCCATGAAACACCTAATTAAATAATAGGTTCTTATATAAAGACAAAACTAAATATGCCAATCCTGAAATTGACGCTCAACCAACTTCCTCATCATAATTATTTAAAGACCAAAACCTTTTTATTAATAAACCCCTTAATTATTTAATTGACTGGAAATAAATTGTTATTCATTAATTTGTCGAGTAATAAAACTTAGCACTTTGTGCTTCGTTCATATTTGACGTAACTTTGAAGCCATAACAAGCTTGAAGAAACATTTATGGAGATAAGTTACGGAGCTTTTAAAATGGACTTTGTTGTTCCTTTTTGACAAAATTTTAGCATTTTCTAAATACTTAAAATTTATTATGTATTAAGTTTGACTAATAACTTTGTTAATGTTGTGACAAATTGTTAATTTGTTATGAAACATTGTTTTGCTTTCAAAAAGTAAATAATTCGTTAGCAGACTCTAATTTTGGTAGTGAATGTTAAATTAGTGGAAAATTGCTTGTAGGCAATGAAATGGAAAAATTTAAAGTAGACATTAACCAAATACGGCTAAATGTGTGGTTACTCAATTATTTTTAGGAAATTATATGCTATGTTAATATAAACACGTTTTTGTTACAGATTAACAGTACCAGGTCAAACAATGATACAGTTACCAAGCGACAAAGAAGATGAAGAAGAAAATGGAACACGTTTCCGACGCACTGGCTCGGAAAGACTCCGAGATGGTGCCAAAGCTTTACTCCGAAGAGTAGAATCACTTAAAACGAGGAGAAGAAAACGACAAAATCGTACAGAAGTCATCGTATCCTCACCGCACTTTCTTGACGTGCAGCAAGACAAATACGCAGACCTTAGCTACATAGACATGACACCTACAACTCCCACAGCATTTCCTTTCCCAGACTTCCATAGTTCCCCAATCCATGCACCTGCGATTAGAACTCAACCTCCTTCTCCAATGACTGTAATGCCTCCTTCTCCAATAGGTCCTTTAGAACAATCCTTTGTCTTACATCCTCCGTTTGGAGACGACAGTTCTAGTTATGCGTCAGACGGCAGCATGAGTTCAAGTAACAAGAGTTCAAAATCCAAATTAGGTAGAGCGAAAAGAATGTTCCACAGAGGCATCAAAAACGATGACTCGAGCGCTTTAAGTGATTCAGAATGTCAACCAGCGAGTTGGAGGCATAATTATTATAAAGATCACAATACTCATCAAAATACTGAAGTAAGTAATTTTAATCATTGAGAGTTAAGTAATCTTCTATTTGCAGTTTGATCATGCTTTCTTTGCCTAATAAATTGATTTTCTATAGTATTATAAATTGATCAACACTCCCTATTCTTAATCCGTCACCACATGGATTAAGTCACCCAATTAGAATTTCGCTCAAAATATTTATATACGAGTATGTTGATGCCAGCTAAGCTGAGACGAGCACTCAGCAACTATTTATATATACAAGGAGGTACCTTCTCTAAAAATCAAGCTTTTTTCGTTTAATCCTTTTAACACTTTATAATACTAAACACTATACCGACTACGCTAAAATTTCATAATTATTTTACATTGATAATATCTATTATCCTTCTTTCAGGTATACGTAGAACCTCCATCACCAGTGGAACTAAAACCAGACCCTGAGGTACTCCGAGAGGTTCAAAAGTCACCAGGTCATACACATCATCGACGGCAAGCTATAAGAACGAGCTCATTGAATTTAGGAAAAGAGGGTCAAAAGTAAGTTATTTTGTTATGGACTTATTGGATGATCGGCTGATTGCTTCATTGTCAATTTATGTTCATCATCATTATTGTTGGTTAAAACCCCGCTTCCTAAATGAAGTATTATGAGAAATTCCTAATAGCAGCTCGAAAATAATAGATTAGTGTTACTCCTTCGTTTCAAGCGCATTTTTAGAACAGTCCCAAGTGATTTATTAATTTTGCTTGAAGTTGTTGTGTGAGAGCCATGCTTTGGCACGAATGGGCCGGCTGGACTTTACAGAAAACGGGTGTTAAGCAATTCTTTCGTTGCTTTTCACCGACTGAATGAGGCCACGGGAACCTAACCCTGCCCCCCTCACTCTTCCTGATTCTAGGGAGAGGGACTCAAAGGGTGGCAACGCACTTGTGACTCTAGTTGCATATGACCATGGGTGGTGGTAGTTAGTTCTCATGACCCGTCTGCTCGTTTGCCCCTTTATACCATAAAAAAACAAAGCGCTGGATTTTATTCTGATTAAATAGCGTTAAAGAAACTCTACAAAAGTAATAAAAAGAACCTGGCTGTCAGGTTCTTTTTTTTTCACTGGCAATTTTTTTTCACATTCAAAATTTCAAAAACATGCCATATTTTTTTTCCGTGTACCATTTACCACGTTTATCACGCGGTAACGTGAAAAAAGAACCAGTGCCATTTGGGATAATGAATAAAAATAAAATTCCAATGCATAAAAAAACCTGTACAGTCATTTAGAATTTTATGGTGAGATAAAAAAATAGCCTGACTGACCCATTTCTTTCGTTCAAAAGAGCATGTTCAATAACAGGCACTTTTTGTTATAAAAATATTAATATGAAATATGATCACAATGATCTATTTATCTATTAATAATTCCATTAGATTAGACCGTAACCATTTAAAGAGTAATCCATTAGACGTTGTTTATTTATAATTTATATAAAATTAAGAGATTCCAAAAATATAATTTAAGAACGTTAGAATATAAAATTTCGTCTAGATTTATCATAATCATTGAAAGGAATATATAAAGACGCAAAACCAATTTATTTTCGATTCAAATTTCCAATCTCCTACGCAGGCAATCATAGAAAATCGTCGTTAAGCAATTCTTTGCTTTTACGGTGAAGTAACTAAGTACGGTTACCGGAGCGATGCATATAAACTTTTTTTTGTAAATACATACATATTATACATAGAAACCTCCAGACCAAATCAAACATTAAAAGTTCATGAACACAAATGTTTCAATTGAGCGGGAATCGAAACCGCGACCTTTGGAATAGCAGTCCGTTACACAAACCACTTCGCCATCCGATCGTCATTTTTTAAATGCATTCTGATTCCTAAAATATTTCTCCATGCTTAGCACCCAAAGACTACTATCGGCTAAATTTGAAAGTTATAATAACAAAAGTAATTACTCCAGAACCCATTAGTACCAAACGAGTACCATAATGTACCACGTACCCACTAATGTTGCCGAAAAAGTTATTGCCTTCCTAATACTCAAAGTTGCTTGACTTATCACGTTCGTACTTTTGATAATTGGAATTGTGTGATTGTGTATAAAAGTGTGAATTTGGTTTTAGAGAAAATGTTTTTTTTTTTTTCATATATATATTTGTTATTACCTGTGTTGTGCTTGCTTGTGTTTAAACCGAAAAGAACCTGTTGAACAGAATGCGCACTAAAAATAAAAATGGGTTCGTATAAATATATATATATATTTATATATATATATATATATATATTTATATATATATTTATATATATATATCGTATATATCGATTAATTTTCATTTTTACAACAGATACAAATGGCCTGACTGATGATAAACAGTAAAAATAAACTCTGTCTAAACTATTTAACTTCAGTGACTTCACGAATATTTAGATCACCTTCACCACACGGATAGATTTTAAAATTATTACTGTGTTTTGCAACCTATACACCCTACGTTCACACGGGACGTGTTATCATTTTAACTCCAGGGAACGTACATAATTTATAGAATAAATCCTGTAATACGCTTACCCTTTCTATTTCTATCTATTTTTATGATAATTAAAACGAATTCTCCGTTTCTCTTTCAGATTTCGAGACAGAAGTTTGAAGAGAGACAAATCTGCGTCACGGAGTTCAGAGTTGGACAGCAGCCCCAACTCGGCAGGATCCAGATCGCACGATGGTGACCATGACGATGATGATGACAGCCTTGATAGTAAAACTAAGAAGTAAATACCTTACTAACATTTTTAATTATTAATTTTCAGCTAATGAAAAAGCAATGAAGCATACAGTCCCGCTTTTTTTTTAAAGACAACACCCGTATTAAGAAAATATATGCTGTGTCGCTTGGGAGTTTACAAACATACATGAAACAGACGCAAATAACACCCAGACTCAGAACAACAATTTGTGGATTACACAAAGTGGTGACCCAAGTGGGGATCGAACCCACAACACTCAGCACAGTAGGAAGCAGCGTGGCGACCGCTTACATCACTACGCCATCCGTGCAGTCCTGTAGGAAAACTGTGACGAGGCCAGTTGGTCTAGTGGTCAGTGATCCTGACTGCTAAGATAGAGCTTGATATGTGGGTGGCTTGGCGTGGGTTCGATTCCCACCCAGGACAAATATTGTGTGATGAGCATGATCATTTGCTTTGTGTCTGGGTGTAATTTATCTATAATATTTATGTGTTTATAAGTATATCAGTATGATTGTCAGCTGTCTGGTTACCATAGTACAGGCCCTGCCTAGTTAAGATCGTCTGATCCCCTACACACTTTTCCTTCTCATATGTTAATTGACATAGCCAAATAGTTTAAGATCCATTGTTAAATATTCCTCAATATGAAATACCTGCCTCCTAACTTTACCATTTGTGTTACAGGAACAACATCCAGCGATGGTATTCATTTAGAACAAGCACTTTGAACGGCGGCCCTAAAGCGAACAACACTTTACAACCCTCGCCTAACCAAAAGGATCCTGATTCTTATTGTAAGTTACTAACTTAACAGAATGTGACTTTATTCACTTGTGTATTTCTGGAATAGACTCTCTAATTTTAGGATGCTCTATGTCAAGGCGGCAGTAAAATTTTGTCTTAGATTTGTGTTTCACTCTAAGATTTATTTTTTACTTGTTCTAGATATAACTGTCATAAAAAAATTGTAAAAAATATATTCTACCGAAATATATTTTGTAAACCGATTTCAATGAGAAGATTTTAAATTTTACTGTATATTCATTTTCTGAGTTTGTCTCATTTAAATTTAAAGAAGATGCTCGGTAAAGTACCTTCTTAGAATTTAAATAATATCCACCCTTAGAGGTGTCTCAGAGTGGATATTAAATGGATGAAAAATACTATAAAAAATACTAGACTGTAGGTCGAGTCGTTAGTGACCCTGACTAAGCCAGAGGTCGTGGGTTCGATCCCCACCCAGAACAAATATTGTGTGATGTGCACGATCTTTTCTTCTGTCTCTGGGTGTAATTTACCCATTTATATGTATTTAGAAATATTTAAGTATGTTTATCAGCAGTTTGGTTACCAAAGCACAGGTTCTGCCTTATTTGGAATCAGACGGCCGTGTGTGTTAGATGTGTAAAATATATGATTATTACCATTCAGGCGCATTGAAGACACTGATACGTTATGTTGAAAGTTAATTATCTAAAATTAAAAATACCTATATCCACTACATCTGTACCCACCAATGTTTTTTAACCGGGGACATTTTTCAGTATCCCGACCAATGTCATCTCTCTCCTGTGGTCAACTCCATATTCTGCGCAAGCTTGCTTTACTCCGGCTCACAGCGTGTATGGAGCGATACTGCCCTTCTCATAAGTCTGGATGGAACTGGGAACTCCCAAAGCTAATTCGAAAGATAAAAACACCAGATTATAAAGGTGAGTTTATTTTCTCTTAAATAGCATATCTAATAAGACTAGCATCGGTGGATAGTGGATTTATAATGAGTACTTAAAATAAGACTTGAGATGTAATGGCATGCCACTGCAGTCAGCAGAGTACCTATGAATAAATGACAATCAGGTCTATGAACACAGTAACGAGGATAGGGAGCTAAAGAGATCCGTCGGGGTACCAAGGATTTCCTTACTACTATTAGAATTTAAACTAATTTTTAAATATGACAAGAACGTGTTTGTCTGGAAAATTAATCTAACTAAACAATAGTATTTATTAGTTTGTAAATAACCAACCTGTTTATAAATATCTGTAATAATAGTTATATCTAATTTGTCATTGTAATTATTATAATGATTATCATATTACTCTCGTTAACGACGTGCAAAAAACTAGTGAAACAATAACATAACATTTAGTCGACCTCTCATAACCAACTTCTTAAGTTTTTCGATATATTCGAAGGGTACTTTGAAACTACTACTGCTACTTTGAAAGTTGGCATAAGTTTGATAAACATTAATCTCACGTAACTCAATTATATTAAGAACATTGTTGAAAGTATTATTGCGTTGTAAGATGAAGCTTTCTATTTATAACAATATATTATCCAGTGTCCTTCCACATTTTAATTAGAAATTGACGAAACTAAATATCTATATTATAATCTAACCAATATATGTGTAATCTTAAAACCAAATGAACATATAAAAGACTTTGTAAACTAGAAGTTGTCAAGAAAAATCTCAGTCTGGCTTTGTTAATGATGGAAAATGTGCACTAAACTTGGTAACATTTCCACCAATGAAGAGCTATGCTTCGTCACGGCAATAAATTGATAAAATTTTTGCAATTGTTTGTTAAATTGTTGATCTGTTTCAGATAAAACAGTTTTCGGCGTACCTCTGACTGTGTCCCTACAGAGGACAGGTCACGCACTTCCTAAACCCATCCAATGTGCTTTGAACTGGCTCAAGAATAACGCTTTAGATCAGGTAATATAAATAAGTAAAATAAATAACATTTTTGAACAAATTTGATTAGCCATTTAGATGAAAGAAAACCTATAGATGAACTATAGAATAGATCATGCCTGGATTATGAATATTCAAAACTCGCAGATAGAAGTAACTAAAATAAATAATTAAATTTAGAATTAATCTCGAAGAACAGATATAATGTAATTTTATGTCTCTACGATTTTGACTTATACTGTTACGAAAACTAAAATCGTTACGTGTTTAGGCCAACAAAAAAATATAAAATGATTGTAATTGTTAATCTTTTCCTTATTTATTGTTTTTATTAAAATGTGTCCCGGTCTTTCTATATTCTTTGTTTGGCTTCTTTCTACATACCTTCTCGTAAGGCATTCTATAGTGTTGTACCTGATTCTAACTAAACATTTTCTTGTTCTGCTTCTAAAATTCAACCTTAAAAGTATATGTCAATTAACAGTTTCGCTTAACCAGACCACGTTTTTACAGATGGGTATCTTCAGAAAAGCGGGAGTAAAGTCTCGAATAGCGAAACTACGTACTACAGTAGAAGCCGCTGGATCAGCTAACGCAACCTTTGCAATAGAGAATTTAAACACCATAGAACCAAACCAGTCCAGTCTCAACTTCGATGGAGCTCAGGCCCATGACGTAGCTGACATGGTGAAGCAATACTTTAGAGAATTGCCTGATGCATTACTAACTAATAAGCTTAGTGAAACCTTCATAGCGATTTTTCAACGTAAGTATTCCGTAATTTTCATTTTTGTAGTTTGTATTTAATACTTGTTATGAAGTTTACGGACACAATTCTGCACCAATTCGATTGGCCTATTGGTCTAGTGTTTAATAGTTAGTGGCCCTGACTGCTAAGCCCAAGGACGTAGGCTCGATTCCCACCAAGTTTCAGTTTTAGTATTAAATCTGTATCTGGGTATGATGTGCGTTTATAAATATCTAAGTAGGTATGTTTATCAGCAGTCTAGTTACCATAGTATGGGCTCTGTCTAGTTTGAGATCAGACGTTCATATGTGAACTGTGTGATGTAAGGAACGTCTGATTCATTAATATGTTCCTAAAACATTGAGTTAACACGTTAAAACGCAATCCTGGCCATCGAATACTTGATAATTTATGGACTTGTGTTTCATAAGGTCCTGTATGTTTCTACAGATGTTCCTGAACCTTTAAGGCCAGATGCTGTGCAATGTGCCTTACTGCTGTTACCTGAAGAACATTTAGAGGCGCTGCACTCTCTATTAATATTTCTGGCTGACGTAAGTATATAGCACATACCAAATACTCGTACATACAACTGAAACGCAAATGAGTAAACCGAATATGCAGTGTAAGATGATTAGTGAAATCTCATTCCCCCTCGAGAGATTCAGAACATATTCCTATCAGATGACTATGAAATACCAATATTTATTTGTAGGTGGCAGAACATTCGGCAGTAAACCAGATGACGGCATCAAATTTGGCTGTCTGCTTAGCTCCTACATTATTGAGATTACATCACGCGCCTCCTCAAACCGGTAGCACAAAAGAAGGGAATTCTAACAGGTAATATATATTTAGTGTTAAACTTTATTTTTTTTCCTGGATAATATTCCGATAATGTTGGACATTATTGCAATATATGATAAGAAGAGTAACTTAATACTGCCGGCTACTTTTCATTACTGTCACCAAACAAAAATAAAAGAAAATAGGAGACTATTGTAGTCTCGCAAATATTTATAAATCGTAACTTATTCCTTAAATTTGAATTACTTCAAATCCAAGGAATAATTTATATTTTTTCCACGACTCTTGTTAATAAAAAACATTAAAAAGCGTATTGAAAATTTCCAGGATGGTCATAGAAAGTGTAGCGGACCAGCGTCAGATTAGCGAGAGCCGAGCTGCGCACGCGTGCCTATTACTTCTCATACAGAAACATCTTCAGCTGTTCTTAGCTCCTGCTGATATGTTAGCAAGGTGTAAATTTAATTATTTTGAAGAAAGTGTTCCGGTAAGTCCTTTAATTTAATTAGTTTTACATTATTAATTAATATTTGTATAGGTATAGTCAAACAAAACAACCAGTAGGTATGTTTGTTATGGCTGTAAAACTTAATTTTATTATTACTATGGGTCTTTTTATAATATTAATGTTAAATACTTTATCAAAGTATTTGTAACGCATTTATTTAACATATGCCTAAATCATTCGTTTACATTTTTTGTCGATAAAATTGTTAAAAGTAACTTCTTAAATTTTTCACAAGTTACCATAATTCAACGTAATACTAGCCAATGTAATACTTTCAATATTTACCATAAAAACGCAAGTTGCGATTTCTTCGAGGCGAGGGTTCCTTACACTGACAATGTATGTATATTTTTTTCTAATGTAACCCTAAAACTGATCCAAAAGTTAGTAAGAATATTAGTAGGGACCAAATTTTGAGTTAAACAGTCTGGTGGTTTCGGAGCAGCTTGGATATGTGAAGTGGTCAAATTGATACACGAGTTAGGGCACGAGGTTTCCTTAAAATAACTAAACATCTCATTTTCAGGTGGCCTTAGAAGAATTAGGAGCCGATTTTAATCAAGACTGGAAAGGTTTCCAGCAAGCCTGCATAAAAGCTTTACTCAAAGAAGCCAAAGAAAAGTAAGTTTAAAACATAAAATTACTTCTACCCTCCAATGTGTAAACTATTAAAATTGTTTGTAGATTGTCTCAACATCTTCTTCAATGTTCTCATTTTGTAAATTATTGTTTAGACTCTAACTTTTTCATGCTTTTTTAGAGTCTGTGGCCGATCAGGAAAGAGGTGAGACATCGGTGTTAGCGCGTTGACCATAGATTTTATTACATCATCGATGTAGAATTCATCTGTTTCTTACTGAAGATAGAAATTGGAATTTTTAAAATGCTTTTGTATTAGTGTTGGGCGTACTAAAATTTATCATTGTATCTTTGACGTCATATTGAAAAGAAATTGTTTTTCGGCCTTTGAATAAACCATTGTCCAATTGTTGTTTTGAAATTTTACTTTTATCTGTTTTACAAACATGATCATTTCTTATAAAATACTTAACAAATATGTATATGTAACGTTTAACAATAGTGGGCATGCCTGACGAGAAAATAAAAGTAAACAAAATGTAAACTAGCACCAAGACGAAACACATCTTGATAACTTTCTTAATAAACATAAAATAAAGATTTAATATAAATTTAAAACTGATTTCATATTAACATTATTTTTGACTAAAGTTATTAAATAATCCAAATTGTGAAAATGAGACTTGTTAAAATTCCCTTGTTCTCAATATCTTCTACATATTTTCGTGCATTTGTTCCGCTACCTTATAATGATCGACAACTTTCCACATAATACATTTTCGAAATTCCTCAGTAAGAAACAGATCAAGTTCTAAATAATTCCCATCGACACCATAGATCACGTCACATCCATTAGTACTCCTGTCATGGCCACTTAGGTGTTCTGTAGTGTTATTAATTCTTTTTTGTTCTATCAATGTTGCTTGGCGTAATTCTGTATGAATTATTTTGAATAACAAACTACTTTATAAGTAAGAAACGGAACGCGACATTGGCAACCAAGATATAACGATGACTAATATTTTATTAAATGAAATTTTCATTAATTATTTAATAATTGGCTGTTCAGATCCGTTGCATATCAATGTTAAATTAAAGTAAAGGTTGGGATAATCATATCATCCAGTTAGTAAAGCCAATTTAAATTTTGACAATATTGTAATAACGACTATTAAAATTTCGTCGTTTAATGCACTTTCGATTGTGGACAACACGCATGCTCAAATGTTTGAACTAGTTTTCAGCTTATTAATAAAATTTTGGGAATTAAATGAATCCAATATTAAAATATCTGTTTGTGATTGCAGAACTCGAGGATGGATGTCTGTTTCGGGGGCCGCTCCCCATGTAGAACTCTGTTGTAAAAAAGTGGGAGATGGTCATCCTCTCAGGCTATGGAGAGCTACTACGGATGTGGAAGCGCCGCCGCAGGAGGTTATGCAAAGGTATGTTCAGTATATAACTTTGGAAATCTTATATCATCTAGAGGTTACTAGGTAGGTACTTTTTTTTCATGGTATAAGGGGGCAAACGAGCAAACGGGTGCAACTCAAAAGTCACAAGTGCGTTGCCGCCCTTGGAGTCCCTCCCGCAAGAGTCAGCGGGAGGAGGGATTTGGGCTCCGGTAACCTCACTCACTCAGTGAAAGGCAAAAAAAGAATGACTTAACCTCCGACGCGTCGCCGTCACAACAGTTGTAACACCAAATTTTTACGCGGTAGCGTCTCTGTCACAACATTTAGAAGAATATATATCAGGAATTCCAAATATGTTTATTTCATTGAATATAATTATAAAATAACGTAGATATTGAGGTAATAATGACTTCGCTCAGCTGTGACTGGGTCACTAGTTCAAGGGCGCGACAGTAACGGGTCATAGGTCATCCGCGCGCCGTGACGTCCTAAGAGTTAACACTGGTACAAGTACTTACATGATTTCATCTTAACATTAATTTGAGTTTAATGTATCGACTCTTTTAGTATAGTGATTTAGTGATGTTGTTGTCGCTATAGACTAAAATACGGAAATTACTAATTTATTCGTCGTTTGTTTTCGAAAAAGTTAACTGAAATAAACTTTTTTCAAACTAATCGCTTTTGTAGATTTTTAGATATTCGGTATTCGTGTCTCGGGCAGTTTTTTTTTATATATAAAGACAACTCTCGCATTAGGAATTTTAGGGTAAGGTTTTACCACTTTAGAGGTTATCTAATATAGTGGATACCCTAATTAATCTTGGGACAATTAAATGAAAGTTCACGAAGGTAAACTGGTTTAATTCTCGACTGTTAACGGCGGCCGCAACCGCCTCTAGGTAAGCATATTTTGCTTACGCTAACTGAAATTTACACTTACATATTAATTATTACATATTACAGGAAAGTAAGTAGGTGAGATACGTTGTGTCCCTACAGGAATATATCCTGTGTCGCGGGGGACTTAACAAACATACAAGAAACGGACACAAAAAACACCCAGACTCAGAACAACAATTTGTGGACCTCACAAACTGTCGTCCCTGGGGATCGAACCCACAGCACTCACGTAATAGTGGTCGGCGTGGCGACCGCTTAAACCACTCCGCCATCCGTGCAGTCAAAGATTTAAACTATCTTATAAGTTCTAACAACAATAGATTTTTTTATAAAAATGTTGTTGTTATAGGATACTCCGCGAGCGACATATATGGGACGATTCGTTAGTGAAATGGAGAGTGGCAGAGAAGTTAGGAGCCAACGCCGAAGTATTTCAGTACATAACTGCGTCTAGTATTAATCTGCCGTCCCGGGATTACTGCGTGTTAAGGTAGGTGGAATGAATTGTTGCTTTTTAATGAGTGACAAGTTATCAGTTAAATGTTTATGTTATAAGATTAGCCTTTTGTTAATTTAATATATGTATAATAAAAAAAACATGAAAGATGGGTCATATTCTTTAAAAAAAAGAAATTTGAAATTTGTTTGTTCACGGTTTTGAATTCTTCTGAGTAGTTCAACATTCTCGTACGAAGTTTTGTTCAAGGTTTAATTCCAGTACAGTTTTATTCAAGGCAGCCGAAGAGACGGCTCTTTTACGAGATAATAATTTTATCGGTATTTTAAATTGTCACTTCCAATACAACTGTCTGTCGGTATTATGAGTCACAAATTTGCTTAAAATATATGAGTGCTTTACGTAGTTCAGGTTTAAGATATTTATTTCTCAAAAAATTGATTGATTGATTATCTTAAATTTAGAAATACTATTTCAGTATTCGTTATACCGTCCCCTACACTCTGTATATTTAGTAGTTAATGGAGTCTCTACGCGACCCTTAAATGTGACCACACCCTTTTGCAATACCGTGTATATCATCATTGTTAGTTGCCAAAAAACAACCTAATTAGTTTTTATCTATTTTGTTCAGATCGTGGCAACAAGGCGGAGGCGGAGGCGGCGGCGGCGGCTGGTGCGCGGTGGCGGAGACTTCGGTGGCGCACAGCGCGGCGCCGCCCGGCGCGGGCGCGCGCGGCGTCGTGCTCGCCTCGCGCTACCTCGCGCAGCCCGCCGGCAAGGGCCGCTCGCGACTCGTGCACCTCGCTAGGGTCGACACTATGTAAGTTTACTGAATTGTGGACTTTATATTAAGGCAGCTGTTACATCAACAACTGTTTTTTTTATGAACCTGATCTGCCAATTAAAGGGCTTAGTGTTTGTTATAAAATGGAACATTTTAACGGTACTTTACACGCTGTGTCTTTACAAGCAGTGACGAAATTCCGTATACGATTTGAGTCTTCTAACATCGTGAATTCACTTCAAAAACGAATTATGTCATTTGGAAGGGCTAATTTTTTGTACAAAACACTAAAATGAAAGTCAGCCTTCTTTATTACTATTTAAAGAGGAAGGTAATTTCAACTTAAGTTTTCTGTACGAGTACTACTATCATTTCCCTCCACTAGTAAAAATATTTTATTTTGTTTTTCGCGTAGCTTCACCTAGATGAATAAGTATGAATGTAGTCCAAAAACATTTATTTTATTTTTCAGGGGGCGTACTCCAGAATGGTACAACAAGTGCTACGGCCATATTTGTGCTCTATATCTTGCTAGAATAAGGGCTTCGTTCAAGCACAACACAGAAGGTCCTGAATCAAATGTATGATCCAAGCATTCCACTTAAGCCGGTCACGTGACCGACTTAAGTCGACGTTTTCTAACGTCTCTGTAAATACATAAACTCCAAGTTGGAATTGCGATGGATTGGCAGCTTTCTCATAGTAGTTATTAATGTAATGTTACATTGTTAAACCGATATTTTTAAATGAACAAAATAACGTTAATAACTTTTATATCGTATTTATTTATGTAACACTAATATTGATTATATGTCTATGTATAGCATATATTTTTCTTGGTAATAAGTAAAATTTTCATCATAGTATCTGTATAATCTGACATCTAAGATGTTTAAGAATTATGAAGTTTTATTTTACCAATATCAAATATATAAATCTATTTATATTATATTAAAATAAATAGGAATTTTATATTAACTATAAGAAAAATAAATCTGTCGTGTAAAAGATTCTTAAATATTTGACCAAAATTATAGAAATCATAATTTTAATATATGGAAACACCAGATCTGATATCACTTGTGTAACATTGCTCTAATAAAAAAAAACAATGTCAAAAAGAAATTGTTTTTTGTAGTTGTAAATAATTTGTCAAATTCATAATAATATCACCAATATAATAAAACTTGCTGCATAATAAATTATTGTTACTAGAATATATTATTTTCTACCTACCTCTACAATACAAGTTTTACTAAACCTTAATCCCCAATAAGGGATCTACCAAAAAGCCTGATTTGTTTGAAACTTTAGTTAGACATTAAATATTAGTTAGGTTTACCAATCGGTGCGTTGTAAATATAAAAATACATAAAACTCAAATTAAACATTTAATTATTAAATAATATAAATATCAAGAAATCTCGTTGATTAATAATTGAATATATAAAATATTCTGTCTTACCATACCATATGTAAAGTTATCGTTACATATCACTAGTCATATTAATATAAATAAATAAAAATAATAATCAAATATTACATACATTATAACCGTACCTGTCCTGTGTTCAGGAACATAGTATTTAATTATATATACATATATAGATACAATAATTATTTGTGTATTCAATAATATAATAAAAATAAATAATTTTTGAACATGAGAAATGTATGAAGATTAGAATGTTGTATTGAACAATATTGTTGTAGGTATGTGTATTATAAAAGTCTGATTGTAAATAGTTGATTTGTTGACTATTAATGTAAATGACCATCACAATTTTAAATGTACTTAGCTTAATTATTTACATGGAGTGTTTATATAATTAACAATAATATAAATAATAACTTACATTTAGAGGAAATCCCCATTTCATGCAAATAATAATATTTATGTAGTGTGTGTTGTATTTAATTAGATAAATATTAAGAAATAAAGTTATTAACCATTTTTATGGCCTTGTCCATTTCTGGCATTCGAAATAAAAATAAAAAAAAAACACTCCATGTGAATATTTTAAACATTTTCCTTCAGTGGAAAATAATTTGAAGCCAAATATCGCAAATTGATGATATTAAAATCGCTTGTAAAGTAAATTTTAATCATATATTTAATGATAATCTGTAATCTCAATATTTTAATGTTGTTAGTTACCTATAATTTCACAAATTGTTGGTGCAAGTTATTTTTAATGAAACATTTTTGATGGGAATGTTTATTCGAGAGTGAATATATTGTGTTCTTATCTGAGGACGCGGAAGTGGGTCACGGGGAGCAAAAACAAACATAGTCAAAGTTTTATCATCCTTTCCTCAAGGGCATAGGACTTGAGCGGATTTTTAAGAGAATTTTGAATGCATACCAAAAAGTAAAGTAAAAGTAAAGTTTGTAAAGTACTTTTCAGAGCGATCAATTAGATTCTTCTTGATTGATTGGTCGATTAATGATTTCTAAGCCTTGTTTATTAATCTGTTTTGATTTTTACGATACACTAATTTAAAGACAATAATTATTTTATGTAATTAGAACCAATATTTCACGTCTCGAATTAACAATATTCAATCAAAATATCTTACTTGTTTTTTTTTAAACTAATGGACAAAGAATGTCCAAAGAATAATTTTGTGCAAATTCTGTGTTGAATATTCGATGAAATTAATATGGTTAAATAAAAAAATCCCCTGTGTAAGATATACCAAGTGAATCTCGAAACTAGACAAATACAATCAAATCAAGTGTTAGATTAATAAAAGCATCTCACCATCACTTACAAAAGGCCGGATTCAATAACCACTTGACACAATGTCAAGTTTAGTACAGTTTCAAATGCACGTTTCGTTCCATTAAGTCGTTTTAAATCTGTTATATTCTGTTCTTTTAGAACACTTGATACTGGCAGATATCTTTAAAAAATAAATTTTTAATAGTTTAAATTTCGAATAATGAAATAAAACATAAACAAAATGTTTATAGTCATTCCATTTTTTAAATATATTTAAATAAATTCAAATGAAAACAGGACTTCTGCACCATTTTGAAAACTGTGTCTACTCAAATACTTGAAATGTAAATTGAAATAGTACTCTTTATAGTTTATTGTAAAATAGTTATGATATTCACCGTTAAATACCCTGTCTCTGAAAACGTGTAAAAAAACTACTTAATGCATTGTGATTTAATCTTTATGAAAATATATGGACCATTGTATTGAATTAAGTTAAAATTTTATTTCGAAGCCCATTTTTCCTTCCTGCACTACCAATTTTAGTAAATAATCTGAAAAAAAGACAGTTATTATTACTTCTTATTAAATGAAAATATCCAACGATATTTCTAGCGTAGAATGTAATTGTTGCTATTTGCCAGGTAATTTAGTGTAGTGGTCAAATTACGTATTAAGTATAACTAATATTGTAAATAAAGAAATAAACTTGGTTGGCTTGCTTATTGAAGAGGAAAAATCAGCATCAGTAGCGTAATGATTAAGACGGCTGATGATCTTGAGACCGCTTCTTTTCAAGTAGGTACAGTGACACACAACATGCAGAGGTGGACCACGACTTTTGGTGGGGTTGTCAACTAACTCTACATAGAGCAACTAAACAAGGTTTCACATTCTAAAGCTTACTAAGTGATACTGAACATTGTTTTATAAACCCTAATACATCCAAGCCTATTAAGCTTATTAGTAGATCAAAGGGAGAAAGTTGATTGGGGTAAAGAATGTTGAGAATAATATTTTGGATTTCTGACACACTATGCCATCTAGTTTCAAACTAAGCAGAGCTTGTATTATAAAAGCTAAATTAACTGATAGAATACTAATATACTTTTTTTTCGAAATATATGCCGATTTTACATAGAATATAATACCCAAACTCCGAATAAATATTTGTAGCTCATACTAACATTTGGTCCGAACCCGGGACCTCAGCATAGCTGTCGCAAACGCTACCACTGCACTACCGAGGCAGCCAAATAGAAAACGACACAAGAAAGATCAGAAGAAAAATCAGTTCGGATTTTTTACTCCTTGGGGACATAGGAGCCAGGAGTACGTGGTGTCTCCTCTAACAACGGCCCGGCCTCAGGCCAACTTGCAATAGCTCATTTTATTGCGGGTTCCAAAACTGTATAACTCTTTCTGTGTCATTACTTGGTGTGTTCGTGATTCACTGCTGTTGATCTTGATGTAAAGGAGTTACAGTAGTGGGCATGTGGGAGGGATTGGTCCCATGCAGTTGGTCGGTGATGCCAGTGTGATTGGAGAGGCCGCTATGTCATTGACACCGGCTAACCAGGGAATGAGTACCTAAGGAAAACTACAATTAAATGTTTCCTAAAATGGTAACATTATAAGTAAGTAATTTTGTGAAGAAAAGGGATCGAACCGGTGACAAAAAAATCATAATAGGTATTTGTTACTTCACCACATATTACATGCATTTCACAGGGTTTACGTTCTGCGTATCACTGTCATTGAATTTTAGCTGAACAAGGGTTAGGGATACTACCCTAATGAACATTCAGGACATATATGACTGACTACTTATACAGGAAAAATATGTATTTATGTGTTTTCTTTAAATTGCCAAATGACTAATACGAAACAATCTAAGTACCATAACTGAGCTGCTAGATAATAATAATGATAAATATTAATAAATGTTTATGACGGATTAAGAATACAGAGTGTCACCACCCCTATTCATCCCTTGGGTGTCGTAAGAGGCGACTAAGGAAGCAAACTACGCAGGACAACAGCACTGCAGAGAGAAGGAAAACTTGAAACAAACCCTATACCAACCTGTCTGGCCAGCGTGGTATAGTAGGCCTATATCCAGCAGTAGACTAGTAAAGGCTGTTGATGATGATGATGATGATGATGATTTAAATTCAAAAACATATTACAATAATTAATTGTTCTGCATAAGTGCACAGCGGTTTGTTGACAGACGTGGCTCCATCTCTCCAGCTCCATCAATTATTATTATTACACTCTTTGTGTAATAATAATAATTGATTGTAATGATATAAATTACTCTATGTTTTTTCTTTTTTCTCACTCATATTGACAGATAAAATAAATAAAAGAGGTACACAAATAAAATAAAATAAATTAACATAATAAAAAATAAAACAAATAATACAAAAAATACATAACATCCACAAGTACAGCAAAAGGGTAGATTTATTCAGTTTATCAAGAACTAACCTCTTGTGGATTGTTATTACGTCAAGCAATCGGCCGGCCATGAGAGAAAAGGCCCAAACCATTTTGTGTGAAAGAGGATGGAGAGAGATCAAGGTGAATGAAAGAAGTCTATTGGTGAGCAATTAGTTAAAGGTGAATATAATGTACTAGTTTTGTCATTATTTGTTTTATTCCTTCACCCTGACTCGCCCACACACACGCATACATCTTAATGGTTTTCCCCATAAATCAATGGTTTACCCGCCTCTCCACCGAGAAGCCCGCTCCTCCTCTATGGTCTCTGCGCGTCATACTTATGTGTTCGAGACAGGTATGGAACCTTCACGTATGTATTAGGCCATTAATCACTGACCTACACATACTACAGTTAACAAAATTATTTATCATTAAATAAAATCAGTGAATACCCGATTCTTGAGACTATTATATTGTTTAGCATTACGTTTTTAGTACGATCCTTGAAGTCCGTGGGCTTTCTCACCAAATGACCATTACTAACCTACATTACTCATCCTATTTCCAACATGGCTGCATTTACCTAGGTGTTACTCATTTATATACTCATTTTATTCAATGAAATATTTAGACTTTTTATCAAAAACCTATATATGGTAGTATATCTTTATTGTAGTTATAGGAACAAGCGGGCAGACGGGTCACCTGATGGTAAGCGAATCCCGTCGCCCATATGGACACCTGTAACTACTTAGAATCACAAGTGCGTTGCCGCCCTTTGAGCCTCTCTCCCGCCAGCATTAGGGGGTAGGGGGGGTTGTGGCTTCTGTGACCTCACTCATTCGGTGGAAATCAACGAACGAAATCAATTGTCAAGCAACAACACCGATTTCCTGTCCTGAAGTCACTCCGGTCGAGCGGGCCGGATATGTATATCTGCTCTTGCTTACGTTCTACAATCCATCCGTGTAAAGTATATCTTTTTCCTACCATTGCCTTCCCTTGATATCCACCTTTTCTTTCAATGTACTCCTTCTCATCTTATCCCTAAAGTGCTGCTTGCCCCGCATTACTTTTCCTATCCTAGTATTTCTTTGCAGTTGTTCGAGTACGGATTGCATCGTTCTGAGCTAGGCGCAGGAGTAAGAAGGATAACCTAGTGAGAACTGACAGTGAGGACATGGATTGCCCAATTTTAAATAAATAAATAGATAAATAGATAGATAAAATTTAATTTAATTACTCATATGCGGTTTTAATTGTATATATCTTGTTTTTATATAGTATAATAATAATGAAAAACAATATAAATAATTAATATTGTTTTTTATTATTATTAAACTAGATTGTATTTACATATTTTTGAATTGGATTTAAATGATTTAGATTTTATGTATTTAATAATATTTATAGCTGCATTTAAATGGAATATTGTTGTGATTTTAATTATTATATAAAATTAATTTTGTTGTGTTTACTATCATTTCTGTATTTTTTTCATGTGAATTACTGTGTTTTTTTGTAATAATTAAGGGACTCCGTACCTGCAACAAACTAACTGTTATTCTATTATTTTTACCTGAGTGGGACCAAAAGTTAACAAAACATCCGTATGGATTAAGAATACACCCAGAACAAATATTGTGTGATAAGCACGATCGTTTGTTCTGAGTTTGGGTGTAATTTATCTATAATATGTATGTATTTAGAAATATATAAGATGTAAGAAGTTATTTTAAAAAAAACACTATTAACTAGATACATTGGCATTGACGACATCATTACTACTTTCTCTTGAATTTTTACCTTATTACTAGACATTGTGACTAAGATTGTCAACGTCATAAGATGGCGCCGAAAGTACGAGACAGTATGATTGCTGTAATTCCTGTGACGTATACCTATTATTCTAATTTCCTGAAAACAAATGCACGTGAGTTCTCACCGTTTAGAGACCTTAAGGTTTTCCTTTTAGCGCTTTAGAGAGCATTGCCTCTTATACGATTGAGAACAGTCAAATCTTGAGTGAAAGAGTTGAAATTTAAATTAAGCTAAGATATAGATCTTAAAATACAATACCCAAACATGGCACGTTTCGTACAGGCGGTGTGTTTGATTTGGTACAAAAATCATTTTAAGGTTGAAAGCAATCTTGATTCAAAAACAATATTGGTTACAGAACAAGCTGTCAAAGTGCGTGATAAAACAGTAATGGATTGGGATACTGCAATCCTTTTAGAGATTTTGGTTATTGGCATTATTATCCATGTTTTTAACCCTATCAGTTTTCTGTTATGACATTCGGTAGCCCAAAAGCAACGCCATGCTAAATATTAATCTGGTGGTTAGTGATGCCCACCCAAATAATAAAGTGAATAATATGTAGGTATATGTATGATAATATGTATGCACCTATCTATGTATGTATGTCATAGTAATATACATTTTTAGTAGTTTAGATTTTTTTGCATTATAGGGTCCTGTAGGCTTTATTTGTAAGAAGACTAGCTTTTCCCCTCAGCCCGCGTGTATGTCGGTTATAGCGGTAAAAACGTAGCCTTCATGTCCTTCATCATATGAAATCAAATTTAAACTATCTTCATACCAAATTTCATCTACACCATACATCGGTTCAGCGGTTATTAAATCCCCATGCAAACGTCTACCCCCTTTTCACCCCCTTAAAGGATGATTTCTGGGATAAGAACTATCCTATTCCCTTTCCCGGAACTCAAACTAAATTTCATCTAAAGCCAGAAGAGGTAATAGACAGATACACTTTTGCATTTATAATATAACTGTGTAGATATTTTTGCCCTTGAATATAAGAATTATAAATCATCATTTAACAGGAAGAAAAAATGTTTCTAGTCTCCATAAGGTACGAATAGCATAACGTAGACATATCCAATGTATTAAGATAATGTAGTTATGTTATGTTTGTACCAGCTATCTGACTTTATAGATTCTGTTAAAATTTTAGTGTATACGCCCAATATAACAAAATGTTATATATTATATTCTTAAAAAAATATGTCTACGTTAAATTTATTTTTTAGTTAAACTAGAGCGCACCAAACAAACTTGGTGCGAAACCTAAATTTTTTTTATAAACAATTGGTGAGTAAAACTCATGTTATATGAGTACATATTTATGTAATTTTATTTAACTGTTTATTAAAAAGTCTACAATAGGAACATCAGGGTTGAAAACCTTAAATGTCATAGAAAATTTCGATAACTGCATTGCAGGTTGCCGCGTTATTATCAAATGTAAGGAATTCAAAAAATTGCATCAGACTGTCACTGGCCAATCACCACGTAGGAATTATCCCACGAACGTGTCATTGGGCAAAAGGTAATCCAGTTGCGGAGCGAATTATCTTGCGTTACTTTACAAGCAGTGCAACAAAACATTTTCTTGGATATTAGTATTTTTATACTTTACAATGTTTCACAATAAACTCAAAGGATCTCTATGGTATATAAATATTTTAATTGCATCAAATAAACATATGTTAATATGTATATGAATTCAGTTTAAAAATAAAGAAATACAATACAAGATTGACGTTTAATTCATTTTAATGTAATGAAACGTAAACGCGCGGCCTCTTTTGCGGAACATATAAAATCATTCATGTCAGTCTGCTAACCCACAGCGCAATGGGTAGCCGTCTAATTTTTATAATAATAAACTCATAGTGCTTGTTTGTTATTGTATTCGCGTGTTCTAAATACCAACAATGAGACATAGATAGAATAATAAAAGTGGAGTTTTAGATATCTGATAACAGAACGCGACTCGGTGTCTCCGCTTTCTAAATCCATTTCAAATTACGAAGTGTAGAACGAGACGAATTTGAAATTAGAACAAATTCTTAACATAAATATTATATTTTTTTAATGAATATGGAACCCTCACAAGGAACGAGTCAAGCAAAGGTAGCAAAAATGGCACCCATCTGGGTATTTGGTTACGGCTCCCTGTGTTGGAACCCAGGATTTGAATATCAGCAATCAATCACTGGATATGTTAAGGGCTTCACTAGAAAATTCTGGCAAGGAAACACAACACACCGCGGGACGGATACCAAGGTAATTGACCCTGTGTTCTCAGTAATTTCTCCATAATGTTGACATAAACCTACCTACTTACATCATAAAAGAACGGTATTTAATTATTAAAAATAAATGAATAGATATCAATTTCGAACGTTTTCTTATGGAACTTTATATTTTAGGCTGTACTTACTTAAATGTTCCTAGAGAAAACTTTTGTGGCAATAACTGTTTTGCTTTATAGCTATGTTTCTATTTTTTCATACAAACAGAATAATAATTATGGGAATAAAAAAATATGCTCAAAATGAATTGGCAATCAACATTTACCAAAATTAATATAACTCAGTATCATACCAATATTCTCTTAATTTATCGCTTACTTGAGTATAAACAACAACCTAATTTAATGAACAAACTGCTAAATGAGGTTACATAGTACATATATACAGTTAATATGTATTTTTTTCAACTGTACAAATATGCACCACATGGTCTGTGAATCACACACATAATATTCACCTGTTATGACCTATCATTACGAGTATATAGATATAGAAATTATTACACTAGTAAAATCATTGCAATATCAGTTCTGTCAATTAAACAACAATAAATTTAAATATAATATAAAATACAAAATTTCCTGCATGAGTCTAATTAATAATATAAAAAAAAACATTGTACACACTAATTGCTTATAAAATAATACAAGAAAATTTATTTTACAAATGTGTACATAGCAAAAAATATACAACAGTATTACACTGAAAGGTTTTATTCTCCAAGTACGCAAATCGCACCTTCACTTAAATAATATCACAATTAAAAAAAATATATTAAAAACCATTTTGTTATTTTGGTAAACTAAGACAAGATAAGTAAAACATATTGAAATAAGTCACTTGTACTGTTCCACAATATTTATTTCTTAAACCCGACCGGTTTCGCCTAACGGCATTTTCAAAGGGTGTTATAACAAGGACTTTTTCTACCGAATGTCATCCGTCAACAGTAATAAGTAGAAAAGTTAAACATAAAATGTGGAATAAATTTTAAAGCCCCAGATTTTTTGAGTTGTGATGTTACAACTAAAAATTAAAAATAAATAATAGTTAAAAAAAAACTAAAAAAACACGCTTTTATAGAAAATCCAACTAAAAAACAGAAAATAAAGTTTAATAAATTTGGATTAAGAATAGTGTAAATTTGATTAAGTTTGATTAAGTACAGTGTAAAAAAAAAATGAATGTACATTATTGTAAAAAAGCGTGGGGTGCATCTGAAGTGCTTTTTATGACATTATCAAAGTGATGATTTTTCTACTCATCTGACAATAAATGTTTATAACTATTGACACTATGCACCCCACGCTTTTTTTACAATAATGTACATTCATTTTTTTTTACACTGTACTTAATCAAACTTAATCAAATTTACACTATTCTTAATCCAAATTTATTAAACTTTATTTTCTGTTTTTTAGTTGGATTTTCTATAAAAGCGTGTTTTTTTAGTTTTTTAAACTGTTATTTATTTTTAATTTTTTAGTTAAATTTTTTAAACTATAGATTACTTAGTTCGATTTGCTAACTATCAACCGCCCTTACTGCACGCATGCGTAGTTCGCGCACTAGCTCTGTCTCTCTTACTCGCATGCAAAGGATGCGGAAAGAAATTAATTAATCCTGGCGAATCTAATTAGGATAATCGCATATTTTGATCGGATTATTGCATTGTCATCGACCTTTGACAGGTGTGCAAAGTTTGAATCAAATCTGATCGTTCAAAGTAGGGCAAAATCGAGCTCAAAGGAGTCGGTTACATACAAACAAACAAACAAACATACAGGTGAAGCTAATAAAAGCGTGTTAAAAAAGGTTTGAATTGTTACATAAATACAGAGTTTGTGTGTTCGTTAGTCAATTTGTAGGTACAAAGTTTTTTTGAATCAACATTTTATAGTTCAGAACATGAGTTTGTTTTGTTGAGTATTTATCTAAGTACAAAACTTAGATAAATACTTACCAACCATTGATTCTACTACTGGACAGAGGGGTCCTGAGCTAATATTTTAAGGGGTTTAATTTTTGTTCATAGATTTATGAAGATACATGACATACAAAGAGACCTAATTTATTATCATTATGTCAGCTGAGACAGTCACTGCTGAATGTAGACTTTACCCAAGAACTCCTATAGAAGTTCTAATAAGCAAAAATTTATCCAAAGCGTCCCAGCAAAGCCTTTGCCAAGAGCAGGGTTTAAGATGTCCAGGATAAGTCCTTTAGGTGGAGGGAAGTCCTATTATTTTAAGGCTAAGCATTTTCCTGTTCAAAACGAAAATAATTATGTTGACAAGTTTTCGGAATGCTCTTAGTTGAAACTGAGTTACCTTAACATAAAAATAATATTTTAAATAACTCTAAATATTCAAAAATGTCCACTTATTAAATACACTTTGATTAAAAATAATATTCTATTTAAAAAAGACAATAGTTGTTTTCATAAAATTGGCAACCGATAATTTGACGCAGATCCTTAAATCAGTATAAACTTGAAACATGTATAATACTAACTGGTTTATAAGTATTCTATTCTATCAGTCAATCTAGCTTTCATAATACAAGCTCTGCTTAGTTCGAAATTGGATGGCGTTGTGTGTTAGATGTCCGAAATATTATTATAAGTAGGTATATTGGTTTGGAGTCGGTTGATGTTTGGAGGAGTCATGTTAATAAAGTATATCTTTAGATACTTTATTAATATGTTATATCACACTAAGTAAGATTACTTCGTACTTTATATAAACCTCTCATTAAGTAAGTAGTGATAGGGAATTCCCGAACGCATTCTCTTGCGGTGAATTTTGCTAATAAGTTTTCCGAGATGTTCTTGGGGAGTAAGTATTTGTCATAAGAATATTGTCTTCAATTCTTGTTAAAAAACCCATTGTCTTTCTTCACGTACGCAATTCGGTGAGCTTTTTACCTAGCGGTAGCGTACATCCTCCCTTGGTCTAGAAATACTTCACCAAATAGTTGTTTCAAATTTATATCAAATAGCTTTTATCACGTCACGAAATCGTCGTCTTATGAAATCAGTGCAAGTATATATAATGTATCGTGTACATAATATTCGACGTCAATATAAGTGAGGTAGAATACCTACTTGGTATTAATACGCACTTCCAACAAAAAAACTAACTATAAAGTAAAACTGAAATAGCTAAATACTTTGCACCACACATTCTTGTTGTATTGACTCTTCACTATCAACGACACTGCAGAAAACTTAAGACTATTGAGCCAAGTTGGTCTACAATTTTTTGTAGTGTTACTGTTATGTCTTTGTTGTAAAGTACTTAAAGGTAATATAGACACAAAGCTCAGGCTGTGCCATGACTTTGAAGATATGGAGCACCGTGATACTGTGCTTTGGCTCGTCAATTGTTTGAAATTTTGCAGAGAGCGCCATAAAATGTGCGCGTCGATCACCAAAAGCTGTCCTTTTTAACGAGAGGTTGACGGTTTTAGAGAGCGGCCTTGACTTTATAAATATTAGCCTAGATTATTTTATTTGAAAAAAATACAGGAATATTTATAGTTCTAAAACTATTTTGGTGCATATTTCTGATCTGGTAACCTTAATCCTGATGCGCAATAGTAATTCGATTATTCTATAGCCTATAGATTGTAAATTAAACATCATTATGATAACTGATAGCTAAGCTTATCTAGCCACTTACCCAGATACACAAGATTGTACTTAACAGGATTAAATCCTAAGCTGACACCATTAATACTGCATTTAAATAGTTCGGTGTGATGAAAGCTTTTTTTAGCATTGACATCGATAAATGTATGAAATAATGGATAATTTGTTTTATATCAAAACCACTCTTGTTCTACTAATTGGTCGTGTAATGCTCTTACACTCGACGGCTATAAATAAAAATAATATAACACAACTTAAGACTTAATAACGTGGATCTGATATTACGCAACTGTATGCAAACGATTTGCATTTTGGCGTTAGTAGGTAAATTAAAAAAATCGGTTGTCTGTAAAGTCGGTTTACTGACGATAGTTGAACGTGACAACGTCATAAGAAAATACTGATGGAATGGTTGCATTTTTCAAAAATGTATTATTGTATACGAGTAGCAGCTGTCCACTCGGACGCATCGCTCACTCAAGTAGGAGAGAGACAGATGTCGAACGCTGCCGAACGCGGAGGCCGATTGTGCCTCTTTGTCACTCGTTCTGCGCTCTCGCTTGCACTTCACGCCTTAAATGGAACGCCTCAGAGCGAGGTAACGCCGCATGAGTCATGTTTTTTCGTGCGTGCAGCCGGCTCCATCGAATTATAAGACGTTGTCACGTCAAAAAAAATTGAAATTTTTATTCGTATCACGGTATCACTATTTTGAATTACGTCTATTTTTTTGGTAAATGAGTAGAAACATTGCATTTTAAAGCCACAGTGAAGTTCTGAGAGCTTTACAACAGTGACAATAAAAACCTCACCTCTCCGCTTCCTACTGCGTGTTGTGGGTTCGATCCCCTCATAGGACAACACTTTGTGTGATCCACAAATTGTTGTTCTGAGTCTGGGTGATTTTTGTGTCCCTTTCATAAAAGTTTGTAAAGTCCCACGCGACACAGGATATATTCCTAGCGCAGAAATTGTCCTTAGGAAAGAAAAAAAATGTGCAAATTTTTTGTGCATACGTGTAACCTGTTGCCTAGTGTTGACCTTTGACGTCACTGGCTGCTCTACTGTGTAGTCAAAATTTAAACTTTCTTTCAACGAATCTTACCCACGACGCCGACGTTTGCATGACGAGTCACGGTTAAAACGTCTCTCAAAATACATTTTACGATCCACACCTTTCAATTCAAGGCGGTGGCGGTGGTTCAAGATGCACTTTCACACGCGAAATTACTCATTGACGTTGTACGTACTGCGGTGCAGATATTATATTTAATGCTAAGGTCAATTGTTTCAGTTGCTAACATTTATATTAACTTCAAAAAAGTATTAATTTGAATGCGTCTAAATTATGATAAATTCATCAAAAATTTCAACCGAAGGCTTGCCACCAAAGGTTGTTGAAATTTTTAAACACTTCATTGAATAATGACAAAGCATTGTTTTCAAAATTTAGATCGTCTTCTAGATGGTTACACTAAAATGGTCCCTTATAGCCGACTCGTCTAAATCGAGCTCTTAAAATATTACAAAATAGTTTTATAAGTTTTTATTCAGCACATCGATCGACCCAATATTAAAAGTAAACAGTTAAAATCCTTGCTAATAACGTCAGACCTTATTATTACGTACGAAATTGTACAAAATCAAATAATATGATGTTTGATAAATAGATACTGTTGACCAGTGAAATTAATCCAATTATAACCGGTTGAAGCTTTCTGATTCGGACCTTTATATCAAAGGTTAAATTGATAATATTATAACTGAAAAACAAACACGCGTAACCTACATGTTAGTTCAGAAAGTGTACAGGGTTAAAATGTCATGTTATTGTCTATGGTGTCATCGTCTTTGTGTGTGTCTTTGTAAAGGTTAAATCACATTAAAATAACGTACTTACACATAAATCCAGACATTGCAGTAAATTTTTAATTGTGCCTAAACTTAAATTCATTTTCGTTCTCATTTACGGTTTATCAATCTGAGTAATATCTCGAGAAATCTGCACACGTCCATCTTATCTTTAGGATAAGTACAGGACCTGTCAGGTTTACCTGACAGGTCCTGTACTATGTAACCAGGCTGCTGATAAACATACCTAGTTATATAAATTATATTAGTATTTTTAAATACATTTTTATGGAAGAGAGGGCAAACGAGCAGACGGGTCACCTGATGGAAAGTGACTACCGCCACCCATGAACGCCTGCAACTCGGAGTCACAAACGCGTTGCCGGCCTTTTAGGTAGGAGTACGTTCCTTTCTTAAAGGTCGTATCGGTCCGGGAATACCGCAGACGATAACTTGTTCCACGGATTGGTTACACATACATAAGTATTACACCAAGACAGAACAAATAATCATGTTCATCATACAATTATTTGCCCTGGATGAGAATTCGCCCCAGGCGTTCTGACTCAGTGGTCAGGTTACCTAACCATTAGGCCTGTCAATATGACGTCACAAATAGTATTATCGTTTTCTGATAAATCTTATGCGAATCGAATTAAATAACAACATAATAAACTTTATTTGTTTATTTACAAAACATTCAGGATAAAGGCGATTAATTATGCAAAATAAACTTAATCTTCTAACATTGTAGTTCAAATGCGATAAGCGTGACCTGTTAATTATGATTCTGAGCGAGTTTGCGCACGACGTAGTGCGCAAAAAATGTTATTTTATCGTTTCACTGTAGCTGTATAATCACAAAAATATTATGAATATGCAACGTTATTTTTTTAAATGTTTTATTGCTGATTTGTTAGGTATCTGAAAAAAATGTTGTTTCTTACAATGAAGTCGCAGTGGATCCATATTCTCTTTAAACATATTCTATACATACATACATTCAACTTTACTAGTACAATTTTATCAGTACTATGTTTATTGACTGTAACACTCTGAGTTGTGTTGACTCTTTCTGTAATGTGCCGAAATCTATGTACTCTTATATCACAAGAATATCCAACAAGATCTTTTATTTATAAGAAAACCTAAACACCACAAGTTGTATATGTGTTTGACTAACCTGTCGCTCTAGTGGTTAGTGATTCTGACTTCTAAGCCAAAGTTCGTGGGTTCGATTGCCACCCAGAAGAAATAACTGTGCACATAGAGATATAAGCATAGAGTGAACAAGAGTCCATATCTTGCAATATAGGCAACGAGTAGACATGGCACAAAATAACAGTGAACTGTGATTTATCATTCGATTTTTGCGTACGAAGGTTAGGGTTGCTAGGTAGGTAGGTTAGACGCTATTTAACTGTAAATCTATTATTTTTTTATTATTATGTAGTTAATGGTAACTATTTATAATAAAATAATTACACAATTACAATTACTAGATTTACTGTTAAATAGGCGAAATATCGTCTGAAAACAGCTTTTTGGCAACAACGCGGGAGTAAGTAGTAACCCTAACTGAAAAAATCGAATGATTAATCACCGGTCTTAAACAGTTCACTGTCATTTGGTCCCATGCCTAGCAACGAGGGTGATGGATAATAGACAGTCCCCTCTATCTCTTTCTAGTCGAGTTCTGTGGTTGGCTGGGGAAATTTCTAATTACCCGCCTGTTCTACTATCAAAACCATGCCCACTTCGCGATAGCAATCGCAGCTTAGCTAAATAGAGACAGAGTGAACTATCGGGCATCCATCTCTCTTATTACCTATATCGCTTCCACTTACAGGCAGCTGTACCCCGGGTTCTCTCTATGAATGAGCATAATTTGTTTTAAGTGTTTAGAAATATAAAAGTATGTTTATAAGTAGTTTGGTTATTATAGTTCAGGCTCTGCCTAGTTTGGGATCAGGCGGCCGTGTGTAAGATGTGTGAGGTTATTATTATTATTATTATTACTTTTGGAATTCTTTAAGCCTTCTGAAACTGTATGCTAACTGCATAACATTATAACATATTTTACAATTTTTATCTGTCTGTATGTCTGTCTGTTTGTTCCGGGTAATCTCTGGAACGGCTGGACCGATTTCGACGGGACTTTCACTGGCAGATAGCTGATGACATAAGGAGTAACTTAGGCTACTTTTTTTAGACTAGCTTCGCCCCGCGGCGTTGCCCGCGGTTATAACAACAAACGCGGGTAACCGCGCGGGTCTCAGCTAGTATGTTTTAAATATGCATGACAGTCGTTGAATGCATGGATATTTTTGAATACCAAAATTTTGCTTGTAAAATCTTCAGACATTGACCATATAAAGCATGGTTTACCTAAAGTATTAGTAATTTAGTACATATACCTACTGCTTTTTATACAGATGGCGTAACGTTCACGTAAATATTTATTTAGTGTAAAAACGTCATTCGTGATCGATCTGTACCAGCTGTATCTATACTAATATTGTGGTTGTGACGTCACCTGTCACGATATTATAGACAGCCAATGACTGCTCTCCGTTAAACTTTTTAATCATTTTACTGCACCACTGGACATACGGTATCCATCGAGTGCAAAGCTTCCGAACCTTCAGATGCACATCTAAAATGATTTGAACTTGGCTCATTCCAATGGCTAACAAAGCACTAATTTGTTGGCGAGTAAATTTTTTGCCAGTTTCAATAAGTTGTCGTACGGTGTCAATATTACAGTCTGTAACCACAGTCGCCGGCCGACCTTCATGCACCTCGTCATGGAGATGATCACGTCTGCGTCTAAATTCTCGCAACCACGAATACACAGAGCTGCGATAGGGTGCTTCATCACCAAATACCAATTGAAGTCTCTGGTAACTCTCTTGTTGATTTAAGCCACAACGAAGATCATGAAAAATCATTGAACAAAAATGATCACGAGTTAAATTCATTTTGAAAGCGCACACAATTTTCTAAAGGACGTCACAATGAAAAAACAAATGACAGTCTCGCAATTTAAAAAGTAACATGTTACCAAAGAGTCCCATTTTCAAATTCCATAAATAAAAATTCTTTATTTTATTGTAAGTGGTCAGATCGAGAGACTTTCAGTCAGACAGATGATGAGATGGCTGAGATGATAATGATGAAATCTTCGCTGGAAGACTTTAAATATTAGTTTGTCTATCTATATATATGTATAATAAATAGATCGCACACAAAATTAAACAATATATATAACACACACACATGAAATACTTGAATAACATTCTATAAATTGCACAGCTCCTTTGTTTCTAAACAGCTGGTATTGCAATGCTGATATTATAAAACCTTTGTCGTGTTGTTTTCTGTTTTTCATCGAACTTGTAAACAAGGTTTTAACGGAAATATGTTTTTTTTTACAGCCCGGCCGAGTCGCGACTCTAATAGAAGATAGAGAAGTGAGTATATTATATTTTTGTCTCATTAAGATGAAAAATATTTTTATTTATTTAAAATTGAATGATCATTTACATTTTCGACATATCTATGGGTTATTATTGCCCGGTGCTTGAGTTTTATAAACAAAATACTTAATAGTAGTAATGTAGTATATAAAATGAATTTTATATTGAATAGAGACACATATTCGTGGGTTCGATTCCCACCCAGGACAAATATTGTGTGATGAGCACGGTCATTTGTTCTGTGTCTGGGTGTAATTTATCTATAATATGTATGTATTTAAAAATATATAAGTATGCGGTCTGGTTACCATAGTACAGGCTCTGCCTAGTTCGGGATCAGACGGCCGTGTGTGAGATGTGTGGGATATATTATATTATTATTATTATATTACATTTTTAAAATTAAACCTAATCATGAAACCACCTCTGTAAACATTTAATGTTATGTTGTTAGTTGTTACTTTGTTTCTTAAGCGGTGAATAGAAAATGATTCCATTACATGGTTGGGAATCGAAACCGCGACTCAGTCAGTACTCTGGCTCAGTAGTATCACTAATCACTAGCCAACCATTCCAGCCAATATGATCAATCATTTCTATTGAAGACATGATTAAGAGAATTCCGAAGTGCTCTCGAATTTAAAACTTAGTTGTGGAGACATCCATATATATAAGTGTCGGTTTGTCTGTTACCTCTTCACGCTTAAATCGTTGTATCGATTTAAATGAAATTTGGTATAGAGATTATTTGAGTGCCGAGAAAGGACATAGGATAGTTTTATCTCAATCATCATCCTTTAAAGGGGTGAAAAGTGTCGTGGAAGTTTGTGTGGGGAATAATTAACCGCAGAACCGATTTAGATAAAATTTGTTATGGAGATAGTTTGAGTTATAGGTTTGAACATAGGCTACTTTTAACGCGACAACCGAAATACAAATATGCGGAGCCGCGGGTAAAAGCTTGTCCTTAATATATGTATACAGTTTCACAATATTCACCGTTGAATCGCGGGTTGCCTGGCATGATCACCTCGCCAGGCTAGAGGATCCACCCTTTGTTTTGGTGGAACTTGATAACTGTTTCTCCACACGGTCTTACAAGAGAGCAGACACATTAGTTGAATGACCGTCTCAGCGCCAAGTCTAGAAAAAACAATGCTTTATCTAAGCCACAGATATTGATAACTCCTTTAAGAGTTTCCACAATATATAAATATACAATAGCGCTAAAAACATTCCAAAATTAAAACTAAAATTTACAACTACACAGTAGGAAAAAAGAACAGTTCAAAAGTAAACGGTAAAAAAACAAAGATGTTTGTTTGATGTTTTTCCGACAACTGGGTTTTTGTCTACTTAGTGTGCGTACCAAGAGTCATCTTCTATAAAAAATAAAAGTATATATCAATAATGGAACAAATGAGGATTGTATACCCTGATAACGTTATATATATGTGTAACTGTCTGACCTGTATTAATGTTTAATTGTAGTGTTGTAGGTGATTAACCCAATAAGGTGGTATTTATAAATTAAAAAGTGTAATTTTCATATGGGTTTCGCATATCTACAGTTTGCTAGATGCTTGTGCTTGGTTTGTTCTAGTCCGTCATAGAATACGGTTAAAGTTGATACTTAAAAAAACTTTTTATCAATACTTAGTATCATGGAAACACTCAGACTCCAAATTACTATCACGTAACGCGTAATTCAATTATCTGTCTTAAAGAATACTAGATTTACTTGTTACTACTTTTTTCGTTAAGTAATGTTAGTGAAATACCTCTTGGGAATAAAAACTCAATTTAATTTACTAAAGCGGTTAGAAGACTCTTTGTTGTGTAATCAAATAAAAAAAAAATACAATAGAATGTAAACAGACCTTGTACAATATATCCTTATTGGCTTAGAATTAAAGAATTCCTTTAAAAATTTTGAAACGTAGAAAACGCCTAACCTTAATACTTATTTTCTTTAGAGGTATTTATTGTGAAGGATTGATTGTATGACCTATATGATCTTGAATATGCTGAAGAGATAAATAGGTACACTACCTATTTTTTATGGTATAGGGGGGTAAAAGAACAGGCGGGTCACCTGCTGGTAAGAGACTACCGCCGCCCATTCTGCCTTCAACACAAGAGTCACAATTCCGTTGCCGACCTTTGCATCCCCCCCGAATTAGGGGAATTGTGGGGTCTAGTTACCTCACTTACTTTGACTATACTTGACTTGTATAACATAACTCTCAAACAAACAAACACACACACATACACATTTTTTTATGTCTGTGAGTGTCAGTGTGTGTGCGTGTGTGTGTGTGTGGCTGTTTTTTTTTCGTTTTTAAAGACAATTCCCGCTCTAGATGTCGCGTGTGTAGTATGTCGCGGGGGACTTTACAAACATACATAAAACGGTCACAAACAACACCCATATCGGAACAGCAATTTGTAGATCACACAAAATGTTGTCCCATGTGGGATTGAACCCACAACACTCAGCGCAGTAGGAAGCGGTGAGGTGACCGCTTAAACCACTACGCCATCCGCGCAGTCTATTCATTCACATTCAACTTAGGCCTCTAATTCATCTTAAGTCTTTTTTTCTTAATTTATTTTTCGGCAAATTCACACAACTTCATATTATTACAAAAACTGTCTCTTTTACAAATACATTTATTATCAAGTTCTTTAATGATTAGTAAACATAACAATTGAAGCAATTGAACTCGTTTGCGCACGGCTTGCAATAACTTGGCAACAACTTAGCAACTGGCCTGATCACGAATGCGAACCCTGATCGCCTTCTATCAATATTCAATTATTATTTTTGTATTACGTAACAAATATCCTGCTGGTAGCTTGGTAGTTGGTATTTTTATTTCATCAGGCCTATTGGTCCAGTGGTCAGTGATTCTCAGTATTGAGCCAGAGGTGAGGTCTTCTATTTCCACCAAGGACCATCCAGGAATTGTTTGATAAACACGATTATTTTTGTTCCATGTCTGGCTGTAATTTATATATTATAGTTACGTAGTTATCAGTAATCTGGTTATTATAGCATCTCTGCCTAGTTTAGTATCAGACGTTCGTGTGAAATGTCTCAAGTTTTTTTATTCATCACATCATCACATCAACAGTCTATACTAGTCCACTGCTGGACATAGGCCTCTCCTTAGAAAGGAGGTTTTGGCCTACTATACCACGCTGGCCAGACGGGTTGGTATAGGGTTTGTTTCAAGTTTTCCTTCTCTTTGCAGTGCTGTTGTCCTGCTTAATTTGCTCCCTTAGTCGGCTCTTACGACACCCACGGGATGAATTGGGGTGGTGAGAATTTGTATTCTTAATCCGTCACCACACGGACTTTAGTCTTTTTATTATTATTTATTACTATGACAATAATTATTTGCAATTAATTGGTAGATATAGATAGATAGAACATTATTTATTGAATACCATATTTTAAATAATAATTAAACTCAATTTAAAACAATCAATAATTTGCGGTAAATACAAATGGATGGTCTTATCACGTACATTGATGTTGTTATGACAACCTTTGAATGGAAGTAAAAGAGGAAAATACGCAATGATATAAAAATTTAACACATATAGAGGATAAATAAAACACATGATATCATGATCAATATTATAGTTTAAAAGAGGGTTAAAATAAAAATGTATTGTATAATTTAAACATACGTATTTACTTAAATATATAGTACAAGTATTATATATTCCATAAACGGATTACAGTTGTTTTGAAGGATTTATTATAAAATGCCGCATGGGCAGGCAGATTTGGTAATGAACTTAGTGAAAACGAAAGTGTATCTCTAATTTACGGGACGGCTGTGGCACGAGATAATCTACGATGATAAATAATTATAATATAAAATATAACAAGATTTTAGTTCCAAAAACATGCTATTTAATATATAAATATGTGGAGTCTTCTAATTACAATAGTTTTAAAAATGTATAAAATAATATTCTTTCGGCATCCGTCTAGGCGTTGTTTTGGCTCTGCAATCCCAAAAGGTCGACTGGTAGAAAATTTCTACGGCATTAGATCCACCTTTGCCACGTTTATATGTGGATGAAGAATAAATAAATTCAAGGCATGAACAGATAAAAAAACATGGAAATTTAAATGTTCATGCGCGGATGCATCATTCTAGTCAATTGCCTAGATTGATCCATCTGCATAGCTACCTACTTTGCTCTTTCATAATTTACAAAACATGACTGTTAGACCAGAGGCCGTGGGTTTCGAATGCCACACAGGACAAATAATTGTGTGCTAAACGTATATATATATGCATATTACATTCCGTGTACAGTCCGTGTAGTGACAGATTAAGAATACGGAATGTCACTACCCCAATTCATCCCGTATCCCGTATCCCGTGGGTGTCGTAAGAGGCGACTAAGGGCGCAAAACAACGCAGGACACCAGCACTGCAAAAAAAAGGAAAACTTGATACAATCCCTATACCAACCCGTCTGGCCAGCGTGGTATAGTAGGCCAAAACCTCCTTTCTAAGGAGAGGCCTATGTCCAGCAGTGGACTATTAAAGGCTGTTGATGTGCTGTGATGTGATATTACATTTATATATTTAGTAATATATAAGTTTATTAGTTTATTGTCAGGTTATTACTTAGTATTATTTTTATATTTTCCAATATGAACATGTTATTGCTGCATGATATTTTTTTACACGCGTATAAAATACAGGAAGTAAACCTATAAATCAAGTTGACAATCTATTGAATAATTTATTAAATAATCAATCAGATAACAACCTGCGTGGTTTTAAACATGCATCCATGGATACATAATATGGGTTTTAAAAATAAAGCTTGCACAAAGAACATTTTGCTTTACAAGTTAATAAGTTGAATATTTTACAATACATTTAATAAATTATACAAAGGTATACGCTTGTATTCGCATTTCGCCTTAAGCTACCAGTAGTCGCATTTCGCATTGTAGT